CCTACGACGTCGTCCCAGCAGATGGCTCCGCGGTCGTCAAGGTGCCAGCGGGAGAGCCGAGAAGTGTTTCGACTATGACACCCGTGACCGACCTCAAGATTCGTCTGGTGGGGGGAAGGAAGAAGGAGTCTGTAAACGGATAGACTGTATAAGCGACTAGAAAGAAGAACGTGGCCGCATGTGTACTTTTACTTGCTCGATCTTAGTCTAGATGCTGTATGTAGACGCTGCCCTTCTTATTGCATACACCTGGCACAAAGAGGTGCGATCAGGGCGAAGTTCGCCACAGGGCGGAAGAGCGGGTGCGTAATGGTCTGCGAGGCTGTGTTCATCGCGACGACGGTGAGCATGGACACGCGCCGGACGATCTCCGTGAGCGGCGTGTTTTTCAGGATGGATTCTTCCATGATCCATATCAGCACGTTGTTCTTTGTATTAGATCTTGACGAAGAGATTAAACGAAGGACGCACCAGCTCTGATTCGGGGCCACGAGCCTTGAGATCAGTCATGAGTTGCTCTATGGTCGGGGCAAACATCGCGACGGCCGGCATGATGACGGCCTGGCGGCTGGGTAGTGGAAGTCCGGAAAGTAACCGAAAATGTTAAAGACTCGACGCAGTGTTCGACTTCTGCGTAAGGTTTGCTGTATCAAGAGCGACGGGGTTATTTTCAAGTAAGACTTGAACAAGATCAACGGCGACCAAGGAACTCGCCGCCGGTACATAGGCGTGACGCACAGTGAATGAGATTCGATGACATCGACGGGTACGTACACAGCGGTGCGCCGGCGAGGATGCGGTTGCCGAGCCTCGCGACCATCTTCTGCGCATCCTCTGGAACATCTTCAGGGTCACCTACTCTGCAAAGACGGGAGGCCTAGGGCAAGTCATAAAAAAAGACGGCTCACTCGTATATAGAAAGCGTCACGCACCGATTACCCTAGGAACGACTCCTCACAACATCGGTGACGGTTTCAGGGAGCAAGCGCGAGAGCTCTCAGCTTCTCGTGCGCAATGAATGAGAGCTGTGTGGAGTGTCGTCTTCGTTTGATATTATTCGAGTCGATGAAATGCGTCTGGATCGAGGATAAGAGTCTCCCTGGATAGAGATAGAGCAGCACAAACCGCATGGACGGCAGACGCAGGAGGGGGAGGCGGGCGCTTGGCACGAGGTCGGAAGCGCGATTGCCGGTACCGAGCGCCGGATTGCCGTCCAAGATCACATGATCTACCACAGCGTCTCTTGCGGACCAGCTGCCGCTGTGCCCGACAACTGCCAATTGCTTGACTTCTTTCGGTCAAGACTCGGCGGGCCCTCAAGATATTCAAGCATACTCGACTGGCTGAACATCGCCAACACATCCGACGTCACAACTCCCATCATGGAACGGCCCCGCACAAAGTTTCTCAGTTGCTCAGCCACTGTCGTCCTACTCTGAAAATCCATCGCTGTCCTAGCTCGTTCCTAACAAGAACTCAACCTAGTAAGCGCTACGGCGGTAGCCTGCTAGCCTCGAAGTCGTCGCAGTGCCCGCCATTGCAATCGCCGGCGCGGCGGTTGCACTCCCCATCCTCGGGGCCAGCGCCGGCATCATCGGAAGTGAGCACATGAGTACTCGTCCACATACTTCATACGCCCGGGCCGTGCCCATCACAGGCGGCATCGCCGCTGCCGCTAGCCTCCATTCCGTCATGTATGGTGCGGGATTCGAGCTGGAGAGCACCTTCACGGAATTATTACCACGTCCCGCGGCGGTGCGGAGGTGCGGAGGTGCGGCGGTGCGGCGGGGCCCCTTTTTTCGTGGGTTACTCTACATTCCGTAGGACCCATTCTCCCCGCGCCCATGAAAGTGTCCACATTGAAGCTCCACATCTCCTATCTACAATAGTACTTAGCTCCCGCGTCTTGTGATCTTACTCCTGCCTTGACCTCTTATTGACCTACCATGCAACTTCGAAGTGGGTTAAGTCATCATTTGCCTCCGCGTACTCACAGGTTTACACCCCTTTTCAGACCGCTTGACCTGCTCCTTTCCATGCCTCCCGGTAGAGATACTCAAATTCATCATCGAATATTACTGGCGGTCTCCTACTTCTCGGGAAGAGCACCTCAACACATCTAGCGCACTCCGAGAAGCCTCTCCAACGTTCGCTGCCATCATTGCATTGGTTGAAATGGAGTATCCGAAGCTTTACATAGACTTGAATACTCCACGATACAACCACGAGACCGCGCCCCGTGTCGAGCAAATGACCGGCCGGGGCGCCTCGGGGACTACCCACACCAACTCGATGCCTACCATCAAGCACCTCTTCGTCGGCCTGAAAATGCCACAGTCGGACTCTCCCACTTTCGAGGTGTGCAGGATGAATCTGGAGAATCTTGAATTTCTCCTCTCCGACAGCCTCCGGACATTCAGGTCCCTGACGCTGCAGCCCAGCGGCAGATCGTTCACACGGGCGTCGTACATGGACTTCTTCTTCTTCATCTCGACCGCGTTTCCGGCGCTCACACACCTCCACTTCGATGTCTCCCTCTGCGAGGGTTGGAACGTGCACCAGTGCCAGGGTACCTTCCTGGGCACGGCGTTCCCCGCCCTCATCTTCCTCCGACTCTCCAATCCGCTCGGGTGCCAGTGCGCGGCGCTCCCAGGAGACGTTCACGAAGAGAACTGCATCCTTCTTGGGGTTGCCTCAGCATGTCCTGCTCTGCAGAACATCCAGATCGACGCCACGGGCACGCTGGCCGGAACCAAGCTTCCGTTGACGGTGCGGCGGCTCACGATCGTCGCGCGCCGCATGCACGACTCGGGCCGCGAGCTGAAGAGCACGTTCCTCGGCTACAACGTCGTGGCTGCAGTGCGACGTGGTCTCTTCTGTAACCTTGGCGAAGGTGGGAGGGGTGTTGTGCGGAAGGTAGAGGTTTTGAGTCCCACAGATAAGATAATTGCCATGGACAGGGTGCGGGACGCATGCGCGGAGTACGGCATCGTCTTCGAGAGGACTTCTGAGGGGGATTTGCAGGTACTTGTGTGAGACCGACGTGATACGTACCTTTTCTGTCGAATGCTTTTCGGACTCCTGCCCAGCCGTCTTGTCGAGTTGAGCATCCCCCTCGCCGTGTGTCCCGCGCCTGGCGGCCCGGCGGCGGGGTCCGCTGTACAGCATAAGTACTAGATCTCGGAATGGTAGTAGTCGTTGTGATGGATTATTAGTATAATGATAAGGTGTGATCGGGGGTGCCGAGTGTGTTCCCGTGACCGTGTGGCGTAGACACGCTCAACGCCGGGGACACTCGGCTCTGTGCCGCAGCCGTTCAAGAGAGGCGGGCTGCTTACTAAGGCTCGCCGGGCCTGACAGATTAGATTAGACTACTGGCACGTGGCGCCGACTGCAAGCGCTCCTGTTGTTGGTCCCGCGGCCCGCCGCTTGGAGGCTGACCGTACATACCACGAACATATATCAGACGGTCTGCAGGTGTTTTTCGTTCCCACAATCCATCGAAGTGTGCTCGACCTCGTTCACCACGTTGACTTCTTCTCATCAGTACCTCTCCACGACTTCCGCGCTCTCCTCATTCACGCGTTCGCAATGACTGTGGTCGAGCTCCCCAACGAAATCATGGCAATAATCTTTAGAGAAGCCTGGCTTTCCTCGTCGTCGGGTGTTGAACGCACGTCTCTATTCTTCGGATTCATGTTGACAGGCCCGAATTTCACCGACGTCTTGGCCCCCCTGATGGTTCGCTACCCTCGGCTTTGCACCACCGTCTCCCCACCCCACGCGTTGGACGCCGGGTTGCTGGACCGTGCGGTCAACGTCCGGCCCCGGAGACCGCCCCCAATCCCACCATCAAGCCGTCACATCAATATCAACATATCGTTTCTCGAGGTCACGGCCAGCGACGCCCAGCTCTTCCTCTTCCGCGACCGATGGTTCGTGCCGTGGGACGCCTTCCTCCACACCAACCTCAACACCGTAGTCCTATGCCCCTCCGTCACCGTCTCCGGCACAGAACACTGCCCCTCCTCCCCATCCCCCGCGTTCTCCGCGCGCTCGCGGCCGCCTTCCCCGCACTCACCCACCTCTACCTGGACATCCCGTTCCCCCACAACGGAGTGTACCACAGCGTGGGAAACCTCACCGGCGTCGTGTTCCCCAGCCTCAAATTCATCCGCCTGCGCATTGCCGCCCTTCCCTGCTTCTGCGATGGAAGTTGGTGCCGCCTTTCCCCGGGGTACGAGTGGCATAGGGAGTTCTGCTTCCCGATGGCGCTTTGCGCGGTGGCTCCCGGCCTGGAACACCTCCAGTTCGACACCGCTTTCCCCTTACATCACTTGCAACTCCCGTCGAGGGTCCGCCACCTGACCCTCGCCGCGACGCCCGTGCGGATCCCGGGGCAAGAAGAAGCCAGCACGCTCGAGGGTTACGGGCTCGTCGCGGCCCTCCACGGTGGGCTGCTTAGGGTGACGGTACTGGGGGACGTTGCGCCTCGACGGCTGGAGATCTGGAGCGGCACGGAGATGGTGGTTGGATACAAGAGTGTGGTGGCGGTGTGTGGGGAGTACGACATCGATACACTGAAGGTGGTTCATTGGCAACATGTCTTGAGTGAGTGACCGTTGTATAGATACGCGGTACCTGTATCGCGATGCGCTCCCCCGTGCTCTCGTTCCTCGTGTGCGACGCCAACAGCCTTGGGACGCCCTACATCGCCGCCGAATGCATGCCCGCAAGATCCCCGAGACGGGGACGGAGCGACGGCCGTCCGTGCGGCGAGCGGGTGCCAGGCACCGCGGACGGGATATTTGTGAACCGATGTGCGCCAAAGACGAGGAACTGGGAGGAGGGCAGGACGCCGGCATCGAAGGACGTGATGAACACCGTGGTCGGACACGCAGCCTCAGTGAGGGCGAAGAGGAACGCGGTGATCGCGAGCGTGGAGAGGAAGAGGAAGAGCGTCGGGAGGCGGCAGGTGAGGCAGAAGAAGAAGTAGGTCCCGTACACGTCTTTCGCGAGCTGCTGTGGGGGAGTGAGTCAGCGCTCGGCATGAGGGGAGAGAAGAGAGGCGGACCTGAAACTTTTCTGTGTTCGCGTTACCGTAGAGCACGATGAACCAGACGTCGGCCAGGAATCTGGTGGTTGCGCTGATCGCGCCGAAGGTGACCGCCTTGCGCGAGAAGCCGTTCACGTCCTGGGCGAATATCGAATCCGGGGCGAGCCCGAACACCGCAACGTCCACACCCGCGGGCACCAGAAGCTGAGTGATTCGTCAATGTCCGTTTCACAGAGCAGACGGAAGCACGCACCGATGCGCCCACGACATACACTCCGTCATCAACCGCCCAATCACCTTCTCTGCCTTGCCCACTTCACCCTCCACCGTCGCTTCACGCAGGTCGTGGTACGGGCCAAGCTGGTCTCGTATGCTTATCATGTTGGCCTGGTCGAACTCCAAAGGCAGGATCTGGGGAGACCATGCGACGTCGTCCACATCCTTGACGCTTGCAGACAGAAAGAGCAAGACTCCGTCCGAGTCACTGAAGAGGTGGAAGCCCTTGAAGATGTTCTTTTTCGTCCTCCGTCGGCGGAGGCCTCTCGTCTTCGGCAATGTCTGGATCACAGAAGGATCCGGAGTGTTGATGAGGGGGTCGGACTGCGTGCGGGATACTGCAGAGGTGCCGACCGTGAAAGAGTGCGCATATATGAAGCGAAACGGCAGGTACACACATGGGTTCTAGACAGAGACAAAGACAGAGCGGAAGGAAGTCAAACCGCCGGCCAGCCCGAGTTCAAAAACAAGATTGCACTGAGAAGTCTCCGATAAGATTAGATTACCCCACCGCTCCCCGGACCAGGACGCCGGGGCCGCTCCCACCGAGCTCGGTCAGACGCCAAGATCTGTTCTCCTCCTCTCTTTCTCTTCCCTCCCCCACTCCATCCCACTCCTAAAGGCCCCACGATGGCCTCCTCCGAACCATCCGACGCGGCCGCGAATGAGATCGTCATCAACGTCAAGGGTACGTCGCCCGCTGCCCGTCGTCCCAGACGCTCTCGATAACGCCGCGCGTCCCGCCCGCCGCAGGCCCGAGCGAGCTGAAGCTGCAGATCACCATCTCCACCGACAAGACCGTCGGGGACCTCAAGCAGGCCATCGCGGACAAGGCGGACGTCACCGCCGACCGCCAGCGGCTCATATACTCCGGTGCGCGTCGCCTTTTTCTGAGCGGCGTACACGCAATCTGGCTGACGCTCGGGTCCTCGCTTGCCCCCTCCCTTCCCCTCCCCTGTTCTCTGGCGCGAACGCGAACGCGACGCAGGACGCGTGCTGAAGGACGAAGACGTGCTGTCGACGTACAAGATCCAGACGGCGCACACGATCCACATGGTCAAGGGCGCGGCGCGGGCGGCGGCCCCCGCCGCGGCGCCGCAGCCGCTCCCGACGATGCAGGCCGGCCAGAACCCGCACGACCCGCTCACGCAGCTGAACGGGCCGATGGGCTTTGGGGCCATGGCGGGCTTCAACCCGTTCGCGGACATGGGCCTGAACCCGAACGATCCGAATATGGTGAGTCCGCGGTGCTCGGTCTGGCTGGGCGGTGTATGCGTTGTGGGGATCGGTTGGAGTGGGGTGGATGACGCTGGGAGGGGGCGTGGGCGTTGGGGGGTGTTTGACGACGCCGTGAGCGACCTTGGTGAGGGTTTCCAGATCGACGTGGAGTGGCGGGGCGGTTGGTGCAAGTCCGCGTGGGCTGGGCGATTTGACAGGAACTTGGAGATCGCTGTGTCCAAACAGTACGGGGAGTCGCACGTCTACCCGAAGACGTCTTCTCGGGGAGATATGCCGAAGGATCGGGGATGGGTATTCTCGGGTATCTCTTGGACGACGCTTTTTCTTGTGACCCCAGATGGGACGAGCCGAATCTCACATCTCTCGTCCCGCAGATGCAAACGATGCTCAACTCGCCCCAATTCCTCCAACAAATGTCCTCCGTCATGTCCAACCCCGCCGTGCTCGACCAGATCATCGCCTCGAACCCGCAGCTGGCCGCGATGGGCCCGCAAGTGCGCGAGGTGTTCCAGTCGGAGCACTTCCGCCAGATGATGTCCAACCCGGACACGCTCCGGATGATGTTCCAGATGTCCCGCGTCATGCGCGATTCCGGCGTGGCGCCGCCCGGCGCGGGTGGCATGGGCGGGCTCGGGGGGCTTGGGGCAGGCGGCGGGTTCCCCGCTCCGGGGCTGCCGTCGACCGCGCGCGCGCCAGACGGGCAGACGGGCACGGGAGCGGGAACGACGCCGGCGGGAGGCGCGATGCCGAACCCGTTCATCAACTTTGGGATTCCGCCCCCAACCTGGACGGGCTCGACGGATGGGAGCGCAACGGCGGGGACGGGGGCGGGCGCCGCGCCTGGGGCGTTCGATCCGGAGACGATGCAGCGGATGCTGGCCGCTATGGGTGGGAGCGGGGCGGGCGCGGGTCCGTTTGGGATGGGAGGCTTGGGCGGGATGGGCGGGTTCGGTGCGGCCCCAGCGGCACCCGCGGACAGCAGACCACCGGAGGAGCGTTTCCAGGTGCAGTTGGAGGTGCGTTGTGCTTTTCCGCTCGAACTTCGTGTCGCGAAAGGGAGGCTGATGAGGTACTCACGCCCGGACAGCAATTGCAAGGCATGGGTTTCACGAACGCGACGCAGAACGTGCGCGCGTTGCTCGCGACGGGCGGGAACGTGCACTCGGCGATAGACTACATCCTCAACGGGGGTGGGCTCTGACCGCGAGAGCCGGTGTTTGACGGGCGGTGCAGTGTACGAGATGGACGGTTGTACGAAGTCGCGCGTATTATTGTATGCTGCTGAAATCGAATGTCTTGAAGAGTCCTTCGTGTGCTGTGCGCGGATGCCGGAGGCGGTGGATGAGCGAGAGTCGACGAGGCGGTGCGAACGACGAGCGCGAAGACGTAGGGCGTCAATCAAACGCTTTCTCCCTCTCCCCCGTCGCACTGCGATCCTTTCCTCGCGCTTTCCCTGCTCTCTTCCTGTCTCTGCAATAGCTGTTGTATCCATACCCACCTAGCTTTCTTTTTCTTTGCGTTCACCCCTCCGCGCTCTGCAGTCTGGACGACGACTGCCGCCGAGCCACGAAAACAACCTGTGTACATCCAAGCCACCATGAACTCCGAAGAGCAAGTCGCACACACATCCACCTGCTTCTGCCCACACTGACCTTGCCCCGCGCAGCCCGTGGCACCTCACCGGTACTGCCCGTCCTCTCCCTCTCCCCCTCCGCCTCTGAATGCCCTCGCTCACGCTCGCCTCATTCCCTCTGCGCGCACGCCACACACAGTCGTCCGCACGCGGGGCCTCACCTTCCTCCGCCCCGAAAAGTCGTGGCGCCCGATCGTCGCCGTGGCGGTGACGGACCGCGGGCACGAGCACGCGCCGCAGGAGGTCGTGCTGGGCTGTGACGGGCAGAACCCGAACCTGAAGACGGGCATTGTGCTGTGAGTGTTCCGTCGAGTCTTTGTGCGGGCCGGGAATGGTCGAACAGGACGGGTGGAGATGCTGCGCTGGACGTGGAGGGCGACTTTCCGACGTCGAGGGGACGAAGACCCGTACCGTTCGAGGCATCCTTGTTCTGCACGCCCTCGTTGGGTGCTGACGAGGCGCCAGTCAGGATATTACCCAGTCGAGCAAGCTCGCCGTCCAGGTCTTCCACAAGTCGCAGACGAAGAAGAAGCACCGGAAACGCAACCTCGTCGGTACCGCGTCTGTCTCGCTCCAAGAGTTCCTCAACAAGCACCCCCTCCCACATCTGCGCCCCGTCGAGTACGACGTCCGGTTGACGTGTCCCCCTGCGGCGCACAGGAGTCCGACCATCAACAAGCAGCAGCAGAGCGCGACGCTGACGATCCGGATAGCGGTTCCCCAGCCCGATGCTGGCATCCAGGTGGACGTCGAAAGCCCGCCACTGTCCCCAATCTATGGCAGCGAAATGCACGAGACCGACGGTAGTCTCCTCTCAGACGGGCCTTCATGTACGTGCCTGTCATCTCGCTGCATATATGCGCACCGTTTCACGATCGACACCTGTTCAGTGTCCCGCACGCGGTCCGACACCCTCGTCAACACTCCGGATCCTTCCGGGATGCAGACATTGCCGGAGACGAGAGGCCTCCGGCGACGGAGGACGAAAAAGCAGGCCGTCAAGGGCTTTCACCTCTTCAGCGACTCGGATGGACCGCACCCGATGGATGAGAGCGACAGTGAGAGCGATGAGTCGATCGCGCGGCCTGCGACTCCCTCGGACCGGGACACGGACGACTCGTGGCGATACCTGTCTGCGAGCGTGAAGGACGTGGACGACGCGTGCTCTCCGCGGATCCTTCCTACGCAGTTCGATCAAGCAAGCATGATAAGCATGCAGAACTCGCTGACGTTTGCGGAGGCGTGTGTGGACCGGCTTGGGCCGTACCACGACCTGCGGGAAGCGGAGGTGGAGGACGACGTGGCCAAGGCGGAGAAGGTGCTCGGACGGCTGATGACGGAGTGGTACGTGGTGGGCGCGTCGGTGCGTTCTTCCGTGTTCTCTTTGGTACGGACACGGATGCTGAATTGTCGCTCAGCTACTGGCGCTCGCGGGCGTGGACGTCGCGGTGTTCGGGCTCGCGCCGGACTCGATATTCGCTGAGGACGTCAACGGCTTTTCGCGCCAGGCGGTCACCGTCGGCGCGATCAGCGCCGCCATCGGGTTTCTGGCCGACGTCTGGTTCATCGTGCTCTACAGCAACGCGAACGCAGCCAAGTTTCAGGTTCGCCTCCGTCATCCGGTGCCGTGCTCTAGCGCTGACCCCACCCCCACAGCGGCTCGCGAAGGACGTGTACGGGACGTACTTCTTCTTCTGCCTCACCTGCCGCCTCCCGACGCTCTGCCTCTTCCTCTCCGCGCTAGCTCTCACGGCCTTCCTCTTCTCGCTCGCGTGGGCTGCCTGGCCGACGGCGGTGCTCGTGATGTCCTTCGCGGCCGGCGTCCTCCTCTCCTCCCAGTTCCTCATCTTCGGCGTCCACCGGTTCGTGAACCTGCTCGTCTGGCTCGTCCGTGTCGCCTGGCGGGCACTGGCTGCGCGCACCGTCACCGTCACCGTCACCGTCACCGACACTCCCTCCGACGCTCCCTCATCTGCACCTCCCGCGGCGACTGGCGTCCCGTCGGCGTCGCACGCGCAGCTCGACCGCATCGAGATGCCAGTGCCGTGCCCGAGCCCTGCGCCCGCGCGGCACGGGAGGGTCGACGTCGTTTTCGTCGAGCACGTCGCCGCGATGGCGGGCTGACGCGCGCGGCCCTCGTTCGCGTCCGCCGTCGATTCACCGACCACCTCGCCATTAATATTGCACTTCGAGCCTTCCACCGGAGGGCTGTTAGGCCCTCGCGCTGCTCCCGACGGCAGGTCAAGAGGAGGGCCTCGAAGCACTCTGCACCCGGTTCCCGCTGTCGACCTCCACCCTAGATGACCTCCAGGTGATGGGGAGGGGTCAACTGCGGCTTCTCTGTGTCTTATGGTACGTATAACGGACATTGGGCCGAGAGTCGAGACTCCTCCTATGTATCCTTCGTGTACGACTAGGTCCGTTGCGGTGCCCCCGAATCCAACTGCGACGAGGGCCCTTTGGCATCATCCCCCGAGTGTTTGTCCGTCCGAACGACCACGATAAACGCTCGCTGTCCGCTTTGCTCGAGTAAGTCGACGAATCTATGCACTCGTGTGGAGGCACTCATGTCTCTGAGTCCGCGCTGTCGTTCCCCACCGCAAAAATGACCGCGAGTCTGCACCCGGGGAGTTGGGTGTGATATCACATGATACCGGCGGCTCAAAGCCTCGTCGATCAGATAAGCCACAGATCTCTTCAATGGCCCACTTAGCAGCTGCCCCCGCCCCGGCCACCGCACCATGTCCAAAAACTCCATCTTCCCACTTGTCTATGACGTTCTTACCGAGATCTGCTTCAGCGATGGCTTGTCTCCGGCAGATCTGTTGGCTCTCGCGCTGACTTGCCGATGCTTCGAGCGTCCCGCCCTCGCCGCCCTCTGGCGGTCTCTCAAAACCGACTATCCTCTGGTCACCCTTTTGCACGCTCTCGAAATCACGAAGCCGCGGGACATTCCACCCCAAGAATTAGTCGAATTCGCGGCCCACCGGAAGGTGCGCTCAGGGTTGCTCTACGCAAGTATCCCGCAGACGGCTTTACCACAGCATGAACACTGATTGTTTTTCTAGACTGCCACCCACATCCGATCCGCACACGACCTCCGCTCTCATCCGAAATGGGGCCGCTTCAAGATGTACGCGCGTTTTGTGTGGCAGATTCGCATCTACACTGGTCCCGAGAAGCGTATACCATCCGTATGGACGGAACTCGCAGCTCTCCTTCCAGGGGATATTTCAATACTCCCTGCTCTTCGTCAAGTGACTATATACCGGCCCGCAAAGGAGTTCAACCTAGACAGTGCCGAAGACAGGAGCCAGTTCGTGTTGCTCACGCCGAATGTCCGCTCAGTGGATCTCGTTCCATCATTCAACGCGGACGGAAACAAGGCCGTCGCCGAAGCCCTTCACACCCGTTGCCCTTGCTTGCACGAGGTCGCGCTCAAGTGCTCCACGTGGCTACCCCTCCTTTCCAAGTTCTCCTACATCAGGAGACTCACAGTCCGCCGGTGGGATGCGCGCATTGGATTCACGGAGATGCCCGTGATGAGTACCTGGTTTGCACTTGAGTCCCTTGAACTTTTCATTGAAGGATTCATTGTCAGAGAGAGCGAACAACTACCTCCGCCCCCACCTCCCTTCTCCCTCCCTGCTCTCAAGAAGCTCACCATCTACGACCCGCGTCAAAGAAAGGCGCTCCTCCCCCTCCTTTCCCGGATGGATCTTCCTGTTCTCCACACGCTCGTCTACGACTTCGACCCCTTCGCTGTAGGGAGCAACATTCCCAAAACCCTTCTTAGCGCCGTCTTCCCCGCGTACCCGCACATCTTCGAGCTCGAGCTGGCCTTCTCCTTGGAAGAGGGGTACACGATATCCCCAACGTCGCACAACGTACGGCTTTCGGCCGTGGTCTCTCCCCTCGCCCCACTCCAAGACCTCCGCGCGCTCAAAATCACAGTACGAAGTGACACGTTCGCTTACAACTCCACCGACATCCTCGCGATCGCGGCCGCATGTCCAGCACTCTTGGAGCTCCGCGTCGAGATCGAATGGGACCACTACTACTTTTACGAAGACCAGGAAGTGCCCGGGTTCAGGCCCGAGCAGCCAACGCCACTGACGGTCCTTGAAGTCATCACGGCGTCGACCCCCAAGCGCGTGTGGTATGACGTCTCGCCCACGTCCGACGACCACGCGTGGTACAAGGAGACGGCGACGCTGGACGTGCTCGCGGACCTCGCGCGGGCGTGCCCGGCGCTGCGCGTGCTGCACCTCCCGCGGACCGCGCTCGACCTCGACACGCTGGACGCGGCGGTTGTGCGACCGCACGGCGCCTTGCGGGAGCTCCGGCTCGGCATAGTCGAGTGTCGCGCGGGAAGCGGGAACTGGCGGGTTCGGCGGATGCAGATCCTGCGCGGGCGGTGTGTGCGTTCCTCCAGACGATGTTCCCGCACGCGGGGCGTGGGGTTGAGGTCTGTACGGTTTCGAAGCCACTGGCGCGCGCACGGGAGGAAATGAGAACCTGAAAGGGAAAAGTCGTCTAGAAGTCGGTGATTAGTAATGACTACGAGGGAGTCACCACTCGGCGCTGGTGTGGATATACACAGACGCAGTGCTAATCATCGCAAGTCCATCATAAACATCAAAACCACCGGCTCAGTCTGAAACTTCGAAGTCAGAAGGTTACTAGTGAAGAGGTTGGGAAGCAGAACCGCATTGAACGCACTTGAAAGCATGACACATTTCGATCCCCCTCGCGACCCACTCGCGCCCTGCGCGCGCACATCAGCTCAGACCGGTGGCTCGTAGGAGCTCACTCACCGCCCCACGCTCTAATACGCACGCCTCTCGACCACAACCCCGAACGGCGCGCAAGCGTCCCTCGCGCCCTCGAACCCCATCAGCTCCTCCGTCCTGCTCAGAATCTCCACCACCCGCCGCGTCCCCTCCGTCTTGGGCCCGCGCAGCACCCCCCGACGCACGGCCGCGACGAGCGTGTAGCCGACGAACGTGCTCGCGCGCGCGCCATCCTGACGGCTCCCCAGCGCCGCGGCGAGCGTCAGGCGCGCGACCGTCGGGGGCAGCTTCGCCTCCGACAGCGGGATCGGCGTCTCGAGCTGCAGGTGCCGCAAGCGCGGGCACGCCTCGCCGAGGCCCACGAGGATGCAGTGCTCCTGGTGCGCGGTCCCCGGGTCCCCGGCGGCGCACCGGCACGGGGAGGCGACGTGGAGGCGAAGGAAGGTGAGCGCGGGGAAGGATGCGCCGGGGAAGCGGACCGTGTAGGCCCGCCCGGAGCGGTCCGCGGAGGTGTCGAGGAAGAGGTGGGTGAGGGCGGGCAGGCCGGAGGAGACGCTGGCGAGGCGGATGTGGTAGATCGGGCCGAGTGTGGTGCGCCCGGGCTCGAAACCGAACGCGAAGGTGGCGGACCGGAGCTCTGAGAGGGATATGGTGTCTGGAAGGCCGGCTTTCCAGGCGCTTGCCCGCGGGGTGAAGATGACGCTGATACCGGACAAGTCGACGAGGAGGTGGTTGGCTGTCGGTCTACCAGGAGACGGCGAGGTGGGACTGTTTGACCGCGCCGTGTCTGCGGCGATTAGGTTCCATAAGGCGGCAGTAGGGTTTCCAGGGAGTGACCACCAATGCACAACAGGGTGCTGGAATGCGACGGTCGCCGCGATTGATGCCGTTGCCCGGGAGGTCGAACGAAGAGATTTATAGAGCTCCAGGCGCGCGGCCGCTGAGAGATGTGACATCCAGCAATTCCGAAAAACCTCGTGAAAGATCTCGATAGGAAGTTTGATGTCATCTTCGATGGTGAGGCGTGCTGCAAGAGATTGTCGGTCAGACGGGGGTGATGTTGCATTTGAACGTATCACGCTCACTTGTTCCGTCGGGCAAATCCGCTTCTGTAAGAGCTTGGGAGAACCCGTTCCCTCGAGCTACAAATGGTGAAATGATTGTGTCAATGAGTACGAGTGCAATATCAAAGGTGCACTCGCCTGGTTCGCTTGGAAACACCGAGGTCTCTATCAAAGGTCGATTCATAGGTTTTATGAATCAGGCTTGCAGCACTGTGAAGACTCTTGGTGGGGGGAGAGCATGAAATACAATGTAGGTGGCGATATCGTGGATGGGGTCCGAGTTTAAGACACGTTGAGGTTGTACTGCGCAACCGAGCTGGCGCCGCGCGAGTCACTCCCGTTTGGCGTCTGTTGGATCGACTGATCGAATGTTAAGTAGTTGAATGGACAAAGATGCGCTCAATGTCATGGCTATCACCGGTCCGGATACCTCTCCGAACCATCAAGCTCTTTGGTGGTACGACACGCGGGAGAGCGCGATGACCATGTTCTCGTTCGGCACCCGGGTCTGTGAGTGGCTCTTTCAGGACGTGTGTGTGGGAACCACCGGGCTGGCTGGGAACGACGAACGACGGTGTCACCGAAGGCATCGGAAGGCGGTTCGCGATCACAGAGGGAGTCTGCTTCCTCACGAACCTCCTGCAGGACCAGTGGCGCGTCGAGTCGCGCGCCACGTGAGCGAGCACTGGGCTGGCTCTTGTCATGTACGGACGATGGGATCGATGCGTTCAGTGCAGGCTTCAACGATGAAAGGGCTTACAATGTGCAGCGGGGTCGGGAGACCGTCAAGATGGCAAAGGAGAGGACGAGCATCGTGATGCTGGGGGTCGACGAGTTGGAGTCGACTCGAAGCCTATGATCGCTGTGCTACTACACCGCATCGTTTCTCGCGTGTGAAGACATCTGGATTAACTCACCCCTTCGTGTTCACGTTGTCGTTAACACCACCTCAAGGCGCCAACTTGAGGCTTCAGCACACGCAGGTTCGGGGCATCACGTGCTCCCTGACTCATAGATAAGATAAGCAAAGATCTCTTCGATCACCGTTCACTGGTAAGCTGGTCAAAAGCTGGTCTCGCCGCGGCCACCGCACCATGTCCAAAGAACTTCCCACTGGTCGGAGACATCCTCAATGAGATCTGCTTCAGCGATGGCCTGTCTCAGGCAGATCTCTTAGCGTTCGCGCTGTCTTGTCGACACTTCGAGCATCCCGCTCTCGCCGCCCTGTGGCAGTCGCTCAAAACCGACTATCCTCTGGTCGACTCTGCGGCCACAGCCGCCGCGCTTCTCCCGCTTCTGGACGCGATGACGGTATGTGACGTCCCGGCCGGCGACCGTCACAACGAGGCCGCTCTCTGACGCTGCTGAGCCTCGCACAAAGCCCTGCCTCCTCTGAAAATTTATTGCTGTTTTCTCTCTCCTGCTCGCCGCATCCTCCTGGCTCAAGATCCTCACAACACACTCCCCGATGCCCTGCACCTGCCCCCGCACGCACTCTACCCTCAAGCGCTACGGCGGCGGCCTTCTCGTGCTCGCCGCCGTGCCCACCATCGCAGTCGCCGGCGCGGCCCTCGCGCTCCCCGCCATCGGGTTTGCCAGCACCGGCGTCGTTGGAGGTGAGTGATGTACCAGACTCCCGCGCGTCCTCCTTCCGTCAAGTCCTCCCTCTTATCCTCCCCTCCCCGTGCCCCTTCAGGGAGCATCGCCGCAGGCCTCCAGTCCGTCGTGTACGGCGGCGCGACTGGCGGCATGTTCGCCGCACTCCAGTCCGCGGGCGCGACCGTGGTCGCGCCCGCCGCCGCCCACGTCGTCGCTGCCGCTAGCTCCGCCGGTCTCGGATTCGGCATCCTCGCCAGCGACGGGAGCGGGGCGGCGGAGAAGGGCAATGGCTCGCGGGGCGCAGCGGATGGGGAAGACGAGATGTGCGCGTGCGACGGCGGCTGTGAGTGCGACGACTCGTGCATGTGTGCGTGCAAGCGAGCTCTCCGCGGGGATTGCAGGGCGGACGTCGGCGCGTCTGTGCCTGTCGACGTTCGTCCTGAGGCTGTGGCCGTCGAGGTTCTTGCTGAGACTAGGAGCGAGCTGTAGCACGATTTTCTGTCTGGAGTCGGTGTGTTCGCAATGGAAGAAGTGCGCCAGTTCCTGCAGGGAGGTCTCCCCATGAGTCACGAGGCGTCTCCCAGTGGGTCCGTGCCCCCAGCGGCCGCTGGATGCTTGCTTGTACGTCAACGTGCACATATTCGGGTCGTATCTCTGGCCACCTCCCTTACCCGCCCCGCCTGGACTCTGGACTCCTCTCCACAACCCCAATGGCCTCTCGCTTTCTCCTCATAGTCCTGGGCATCATCCTCCTGCTAATCGACCCTACCAAAATTGGTACCCTCTTCTGTGAGCATCCCCCTCATCCCCTCGCCCTAATGACGGCGCCGCTCACTCCCTCGCCCACCGTCACCGTGCGCAGACATCATCGCCCGATGGATCCTCTCCCTCCTCTCCCGCCTTCCCACCGACGCACTCCTCGCCAAGTGGCGCCACGCCTTCCGCCGCATCCTCGCCGCCGCCATGGACTACGTCTGCTGGGACAAGCTCAAGGACGCGCTCTTCGCGCTCAGCAGCCTGCTCCTCATGCTTGGGATCCTCGCTGCTAGTATTTATCTCGTTGGCTTCAGGCGCGTCGGGGTCGCCGTAGGTGCGTGTGTCGCTGCCCCCCGTCGCGCCCTCTGCCCCGCCGCTCATGCATACACGGGCGCGCCGCGCCGCACCTAGGGAGCATCGCCGCGTTCATACAGTCCGTCTTCTACGGCGCCGCGACCGGCGGGCTCTTCTCCGTCTTCCAATGCGTGGGGACGATGCTCCACCCCGCCGTGATCGTGGGGCTCCTCGTCGCGGGGGTTGTGGGTCTGATATTCTGGATGTTCTGGATGTGACGCGCGGACTGGGACGTCGCCGAACGCGGAGGGTTGGTTGGATGCGGGGGAGGAACTCGGAGCCGAGGTCGTGGCACACAACCCTCCGGGACGAGGTGCGTACCTTAGACGTGTAGAGCTGCGTCGCCGAGCGAGGGCGGATCCAGTAATGACAGTGTGTGTTCATACGTGATCATTCAGATCTCAGACCCCCTCTCTACGAGGACGCCGTGCTCCGCGCACGCGTCCCGCACCCTATCCAACGCAAACACCACGCAGGTGGAACTCAACACCTCCACCTTCCGCACGCCGGTCCCGCCGCTTCCCCGCTCCCCAACATCACAGAAGAGCCCGCGCCGCACCGCGGCGACGACGTGGTACTCAAGGAAAGAGCTCTCCAGCGCCTCGGAGGGCACCCGGTGATGCGTGTGCGCACTCCCCGGAGGGCGCGCGGCGGCGAGGCGAGCACAACGAGCTCTGAGGACGGAACGTCGTTGCGACGCGTTGGGTTGTGCTGGTCGAACGGAGATGGGCGGCGGGGCCGACGTCCGTGCTCGTCTCGCTGGGTACGCCAGGCTGGTGCCGGACCGCTGCCCGGGCGATTCAACTCGTGTAGTAAACCTCGGTCTAAACCACGGTGAATTCATGCCTGTTACCGGCCTAGATGCCTGTCCGAACCGTCTAGCCCTAAGTTGGTGGTAAGTACGACGGGTTGGAGAGCGCGCCGAACATGTCCTCACCCGGCACCCGAACCTTTGGGTGGCTCTGTCAGGACGTGTGCCCTAGGGGAACCGCGGGGCTACTAACGTTCGGATGGCAGGCGGTTCGCGATCAGAACACGGAGGAGGTCTGCTTCCTCGCGATCGAACCTCCTACAGGACTGGCACGTCGAGCTGCTCGCCCCGCACGGCGAGTCGCGCGCGGACTGGGAGGCACGACACATGCGGGGCCAGGCGCGGACCAGTTTCGGGGTGCTCGAGCAGCCGGTGCGGCTCGTGCGGCGGCGGCGGCGGCGGGCGTGAGCGCTGGGCTGGCTCTTGACATGTACGCATCAGTATTTCCTAAAATGTCTCAAAATGTCTCAAAATGTCTCAAAACCTCTGTGGAGACGCCTGAGACGTTGTGAGATGATTTGAGACATCCAGAAATTCTCTTACTTCCAATTTTTAGTGAGATGTTGTGTGAGAGATTTCAGACAGATCAGAAAAATCAGAAGTCCAAGATGGAGACGACTTTTACATTGAGTTCGGGACTCGTGCACGCTTCAGACACCATATACGGAGGCAATAGCTGTATTTCACTAGGTCTACCAGTACACATGTACACTAAATACGCCATCAGAGTCCTCGGGCAGCTCAGCACGGTATAGTCACGCACGCGGTGTGCGTGCCAGCGCGGCACAGTGCTCGGAGAGCTGGACTCGCACAAACACGTCCTTCGGCTGCTACAGGACTCACCCGATGGGTGTGTTGCCCAGGGCGGGGTTCGAGTGCACGCGCACGCGACGAATCTGTTCGCGGCGAAATCGTGCGGCCCTTGCCCTCGCACGTGCCGCGAGTGACAGCGGCAGCGCGTAGTACAACTCGCCCGTTGTGTGGATGTACGGCGTTTTCTCCGATGTCGTGGGCAGCGCGGGAAGGGGCGCGGGAAAGGGCGAGGAGGGGCCGGGGACTGTCGCACGTGTGGAGGGACGCGGAGGGCTGGCCCGTGAGCCCGATGCGTGTACGTGTCCACATGTGTTGTGATTGGGATTCATCATACTGTCCCACGTCGGTGGTGCGCGTGTGCGCAATGAGGGGTCAGGAATTGTGTGGCCGCATGGATGGATGGGGGCACTTACTGTTATCGAGGGGCATACAGCCATGTCCGCGAGATATGCGCACGAGATGGGCGAAACGGCCTCCATCCTTGGACGCAGGACGACAATGAGCGGGGCAGCAGACGTGGGCAAGGTTGGCGAGACGGGCGACGTACAACACGAGAGCGAGGCGGTTGAAGTGAGCGACGTGGTGACGTTGATGACGCAGGTGCGACACCATTGGCACGGACGGGGTGACGGTGAGGGCGAGGGCGAAACAGGCAAAGGCGATACGGGCGAGATGGACGAGGCAGTCGAGACGGGACAGGCGGGCAAGACGGACGAGGCGGAGGTGAGGCGAGGTGGGGGCGCAGGCGAGACGGGGGAAGTAGGCGACGCGTATGACGCGGATTGACATGGGCAAGATGGCGGGGAGGGCGAGAGCAGAACGGGCGAGGGCGAGACGGGCGAGTGCGAGGCAGACGAGGGGTGCAAGGGCGAGACGGGCAAGGGGAGGCTAGAGGATGACGAGGACGAGGAGAGTGCTGGCAGTGCCAAGCGCTGGAGTCCACGCAACGCGCGTCGATTCCCACACGTCTGGAGCTGCTGCCAGCGCGTCTTTCCCATCGTCAACCTCCTCCTCATCCACTCTCCACTAGCACCCCATCCTCCTCGTCCTTTCCGTCCTCCCCACCCTCCCCGTCTTTTCCTCCTGGCGCAACAGCCCCGATGAGCACGTGAACGCGCCCCTCGCCCGCCGCTTCCTCGACGAGCTGTTGCGGCCCCCTTGGTCTTGGTGAGTCTCCCATTGTGCCCTCCTGCGTTCCTCGCCTCGCCCACTGCCTCCCAGACTCCGGCCAGGCCACCGACCCCTTCCCCACGACCTCGGATACGTCCCAACGGGCGTGCACGGGTCCACGGGATGCTCATTCCCCTGCGCGGCCGTTGCCACTACGCCCGCCCGCCTCTCCCTCGCGTTGCGCGTGTCCGTGCCGCCCACCTCGTCCGCGACTCCGTGTCGCCTACCTCGCCCGCCTCTCCTGGCTCGCGCCCGCGTCCTCGCTCGACATCCCGCAGCTGGCGGCTCACTCGCGGGAGACATCCGCATCTCGTCTCCCCGTCGACAGCGCGACCTCGCAGGCATGGGCCACTACGGTACGCCCGGAGGATTGCCCGCGGACACTGGTGTCTGCGTACCGCATGGGCCTGCGTCTGCGTCGTTCCCGCACCCACGTCCACCTCGCCGACCTTGCCCGCATCCACATCGTCCGCCTCGCCCACCTGTGTCGCTCACTTCGCCCGTGTCACCCTCGTCCGCGTCGCCTACCCCGCCTGCATCTGCCTGCTCGTGCCCGCGTCACCCACCTCGCCCACGTCAATATTGCCCACGTCCGCGTCGCCTGCATTGTCAGCCCATATCGCTCGCCTGTATCTGTGTCGTCCCCGCGCCGACGTCTGTACCACCAACCTCGCCCATGTCGCCGCGTCGCAGACCTCGCCCACATCCGCGTCGCCCGCACCCACATCGTCCTCACCCACGTCGTCCGTCCGACCCATTCGTGTCGCCCACCTCACCGGCGTCACCCACCTCCCCGCGTCCATGTCATGTCCCCCGCCCACTCGCCCACATTGCCACCTTGCCTGTGTCACCCACGCCCGCGTCTCCCGCCATGTCTGTACGGTCCATCTTCGTTACCAGTGTAGTTAGATAGCATTAGTTCCCAATATATTTCATTCCTGACACTTCCACATCATTGTGAATCATCAATAAAGCGGTAGTCACAGTGATGTTATCTCACCTACAGTGATTCACCTCTAGCACTTCTGGATGTGTATTGTGTGTCAATCCCGGTCATCTGAATCCTCTGAGATTTGTCTCAAACATCTGATCACCTCTCACCTGTCTGAAGCCTCTCATGCAAGATGTGTCAGAGATCAGATAGTTTGAGATATTTGGGGAAGTACTGATGCGGACGCGGGCTCGATGCGCGAGTTTCAGCAATCAAAGGGCTTACGATATGTGGCAGCGTCAGGAGACGGCCTGGTTGGCGAAGAGTTGGCAGTCCGAACGACGACGATGAATGTTCGCTGTGTTACACCGCATCAGAGCGACTCAGGGCACCCTTAGCAGGAGTTCAGTTCAACTCGAGATGGGTCGTACGGCTCGCCGTTACTCGAGTGGGTTAACGAATCTGTGCGCTTCAGCGGAGGCACTCACCTCTCCGAGTCTGCATTGTCGTTGAAAACACCTCAAGAGTCAAGGCCGTACTAAGTCTACACCGCACGCCGGTTTGGTGTACCACGTGACACATACTGTTCTGACTCATCGATCAGATAAACCAAACTTGATCTCTTCAAACACTCAGTTGGCCACCGGCGCACCGCACCCATGTCCAAAAACTCCACCTTCCCACTCGTCGACGACGTCCTTAATGAGATCCGCTTCAGCGATTGCTTTTCTCGGGCAGATCTGTTATCGCTCGCGCTGACTTGTCGATGCTTCGAGCATCCCGCCCTTGCTGCCCTCTGGCAGTCACTCAAAACCGACTTTCCTCTGGTCACCCTTTTGCGCACTCTCGGAATCACGGAGCCGCTGGACATTCCACCCCAAGAATTAGTCGAATTCGTGGCCCACCGGAAGGTGCGCTCAGGGTGGCTCTACGCAAGTATTCTGCAGTCGGCTTTATCCCAGCATGAACACCGATTGACTTCCTATCAGACTGTCGCACACATGCAATCCGTGCACGACCTCCGCTCTCATCCGAAATGGGGCCGCTTCGAGATGTACGCGCGTTTTGTGCGGGAGATCCACATCTGCCCTGGCCCCGCGACTCAGATGTCATCCGTGTGGACAGAGCTCGCGGCTCTCCTTCCAGCAGATGTTTCGATACTCCCTGGGCTTCGCCAAGCGACCATATATCGGCCCGCAACGGTGTTCAACCTAGCCAGTGCCGAAGACAGGAGCCAGTTCGTGTTGCTCACACCGGATGTGCGCTCGGTGGATCTCGTGCCTTTCTTCAACCCAGACGGAAGCAAGGCTGTCGCTGAAACCCTTTTCGCCCGTTTCCCTTGCGTGCACGAGGTCGCGCTCAAGTACTCCACGTGGCTGCCCCTCCTCTCCCAGTTCTCCTACATTAGGAGACTCACGGTCCGCCAGTGGGACGCGCATATCGGATTCACGGAAATGCCCGTGATGGGTACCTGGCCTGCCCTCGACTCCCTCGAGATTTTCATTGAAGGGTTCAACGTCAGAAAGAAGGACACACAGCCCCCACTTCCGGCTCCCTTCTCCCTCCCGGCCCTCAAGACGCTCATCATCCACGATCTATCTCAAAACCAGGCACTCCTTCCCCTCCTTTCCCGGATGGACCTTCCCGTTCTCCGCACGCTCGCCTACGACCTCGACCCCTTCATCGAAGGGGACTGCGTTCCGCAACCCCGTCTCAGCGCCATCTTCCTCGCGTACCCACACATCTCCGAGCTCGAGCTGGCCTTCTCCTTGGTAGAGGCGGGCGCGATATCCGCAACGTCGCAACACGTGGCGCTCTCGGACGTCGTCCCTCCCCTCGCCCCCCTCAAAGGCCTCCGCGTCCTCAAAGTCACGGTACAAAGCGACACGTTCGCTTACAGCTCCGCCGACATCCTCGCGATCATCGCCGCGTGTCCGGCACTCGCGGAGCTCTGCGTCGAGGTCGAATGGGACCACTACTTCTTCTACGAAGACCAGGAGGTGCCCGGGTCCGGGCCCGAGCAGCCAACCTCACCGTCAACAGTCCTCGAAGTGCTCACGGCGACGACCCCCAAGCGCGTGTGGGACGGCGTCTCGCCCACGTCCGACGACCACGCGTGGTACAAGGAGACGGCGACGTTGGACGTGCTCGCGGACCTCGCGCGGGTGTGCCCGGCGCTGCGGGTGCTGCACCTCCCGCGGACCGCGCTCGACCTCGGCGCGCTGGATGCGGCGGTCGTGCGACCGCACGGCGCCCTGCGGGAGCTCCGGCTCGGCATAGTCGAGTGTCGTGCGGGGCAGGGGGCACCGGCGGGCGCGGTGGATGTGGATCCCGCGTGGGCGGTGTGTGCGTTCCTCCGGACGGTGTTCCCGCACGTGGGGCGTGGGGTCGGGGTCCGTACAGTTTCGAAGCTCCCCGCGCGCGCTCCCGTACCTGCCTCTACGGATACCGCCTCCTGAGGCACGGTTTCTGGCCCCAGTCCGTGGTAGCGAAGCGTGATATTTAAAGGAGTCACCGACATGGAGACGGCGGACAGGTGCAGCTTTGATGAACCACCACCGGGGCCTGCGCCGGAGAGTTGTACATATCACAGCGCGGGTCCAGCCGTTGGTGTGATCACATCTGAACGTACACTGGCATTACTGGATCCGCCCTCGCTCGGCGAGGCAGCTCTACACGGCTATCGCACGCACCTCGTCTCGCAGGTTTGTGTGCCGTGACCTCAACGCCATCCCGCTCCCACATCCACGCAACTTTCCGCCTTCGGCGACCTCCCAGTTCGCCCGTCACGCGTCACGGCCCGAGCTTCCACACCGCCAGCCCCACAGCGCCCGCAACGATGAGCCCCACGACCACAGCGGGGTGGAGCATCGTGCCCAGGGCCTGGAAGACGGAGAAGAGCCCGCCGGTCGCGGCGCCGTAGAAGACGGACTGGATGGACGCGGCGAGGCTCCCTGCGCGCGCGTGTGCATGAGCGGCGGCGACGGGGGGCAGCGGCACACGCACCTGCGACGACCCCGACGGGCGTGAAGCCGACGAGGAAGACAATGGCAGCCAGGCCCCCGAGAGCGAGGAGTGGGATGCTGAGCACGGGGAGCGCGGCCCTGAGCTCGTCCCAGCACGACGGGAAAGGCCAGATGGGAACCGCCGAAATAGGACGTTCACCAGGCTGAGACCATGTTCCATGTCACTGTCACGGTCTCTGGCGAACACCAGACAAAGACCAGGAATCATGGTCACACCATGGTCTCAGCCTGGTCTCCCTGCGCAGTGATTATATAATACAGCGCGGAGGGAGGGGGCACTAAATCGGGAGCGAATGAGTACCGCAAAGGGGTGGAATTTCCCACGTGCGGAGTAGGCGTGTGTTGATAAAGCATACTGGCGGAGACCAGGCTGAGACCATGGTGCGACCATGATTCCTGGTCTTTGTCTGGTGTTCGCCAGAGACCGTGACAGTGACATGGAACATGGCCTCAGCCTGTTGCAGGTCTGACTCCGGCGGTTCCCATCTGGCCTTTCCCGTCGTGCAGGGGACGTGGTCCGTGGCGGCGGCGAGGGTGCCGCGGAAGGCGTGGAGCTTGGCGAGGAGGGCGTCGGTGGGGAGGCGGGAGAGGAGGGAGTGGATCCACTCGGCGATGGCGCCTGCGCACGGGGACGGTGGGCGAGGGAGCGAGCGGCGCCGTCGCCTCGTTGGATCTGGGGGGATGAGGGCAATGCGCACCGAAGACGTTACCGATGTTGGTGAGGTCGATTGGCGCGGCGGCTGCGCTCCCTGCGAGCAGGAGGGTGGTGCCGAGGACTATGAGGAGGGGGCGAGAGGCCATCGTGGTTGTGGAGAGGAGGAAAGGGGTGGAGAGTCCAGGCGGGAGATGGGAGAGAGGTTGAAGATACGACCCGAGTACGTCCTTATCCGTACGTTGACGTAGAAGCACGCATCCAGCTGCCGCTGGGGGCACGGACCCAGTGCGAGATTAAGCTTCTGGGAAGACCTCCCAGCAGGAACTGGCGCATATAGCCACCTTTCCATCCGTCCCCGCGCAAAGCCATACCGCTTCTTCTATTGCGAGCCCACCAACTCCAGACAGAAAATCGTGCTACAGTTCGCTCTTAGTCTCAGCAAGAACCTCGACGGCCACAGTCTCAGGACGAACGTCGACAGGCACAGACGCGCCGACGTCCGCCCTGCAATCCCCGCGGAGAGCCCGCTTGCACGCACACATGCACGAGTCGCCGCACTCACAGCCGCCGTCGCACGCGCACATCTCGTCTTCCCCATCCGCCGCGCCCCGCGAGCCATTGCCCTTCTCCGCCGCCCCGCTCCCGTCGCTGGCGAGGATGCCGAATCCGAGACCGGCGGAGCTGGCGGCAGCGACGACGTGGGCGGCGGCGGGCGCGACCACGGTCGCGCCCGCGGACTGGAGTGCGGCGAACATGCCGCCCGTCGCGCCGCCGTACATGACTGACTGGAGGCCGGCGGCGATGCTCCCTGAAGGGGGCACGGGGGGGATGAGAGGGAGGACTTGGCGGGAGGAGGACACGCGGGAGTTTGGTACGTCACTCACCTCCAACGACACCAGTGCTAGCGAATCCGATGGCGGGGGGCGCGAGCGCGGCGCCGGCAACTGCGGTGGTAGGCACGGCGGCGAGGACGAGAAGGCGGCCGCCGTAGCGCTTGAGGGTGGAGTGCGTGGGAGGGCAAGTGCAGGGGGTCGGGAGCGTATTTTTTAAGGACGTTGAGCCCGGTGGATGCAGCGAGGGCAGGTGAGAGAGGGACGGGGCCAGCAGGGCTCTACGCGAGGCTCGCGCTCAGGAGGCGTCATTGTGGTGGTCGCAGGCCGCGACGTCCGCGTCAGATACCGTCATTGTTCTTGACGCGGACGGCCGAGTTGCGTTTGTGGAGAACGAGATGGAAGAATGAGATGAGATGGGAGTCGTCGCGGGACAGCCATGTTATGTAAGCGCCTTGCTGGATAACGTCATCTGGCTGATGCGCTAGACGCTCTGTCCTTCCAACCCTCGCCTCTCAACGGAGCACATAGACCTCTGGATGTTGACTGCCATGCAGACGTTCATATAGATGCGACGCGAGAGCAAATAGAAGTTTCATAGACGTGCAGCAAGCCGTGCTACTACTAAATGCATTCAGACCCCCTCTCGACGAGGACTCCGTGCTCCGCGCACGCGTCCCGCACCCTATCCAACGCGAACACCTCGCAGGTGGAACTCAACACCTCCACCTTCCGCACGCCGCCCCCGCCGCTTCCCCGCTCCCCGACATCGCAGAAGAGCCCGCGCCGCACCGCGGCGACGACGTGGTACTCGAGGAACGTGCTCTCCAGCGCGCGGCCCGGGATGCCCATCGCGCGCGCGACGACCGTGAGCGTCCGCACCGTCGACGGGAGCTTCGCCCCCGCCAGCGTCCCCGCGCCGTCGACGCGCACGCGGCGCAGGCCGGGGCACGCCGCGGCGACCCCGCGGAAGAGGCAGCGGTCGCCGTGGAGGTCGCCGCGGAGCGCCGCGCACCGGCACTCGAGCGCGTGCGCGAGGCGGAGGGAGGCGAGCGCGGGGAAGGACGTGCCGGCGAACGTGGGCTTCTGGTGCTTGAGCGCGGTCCAGTCCGGGCAGAGTGAGGTGTCGAGGTCGAGGTGGGTGAGCGCGGGGAAGGCGGTGGAGACGGAGAGGAGGAAGGTGCGGTACGAGCAGAGCGTGAGCCTCTTGCTGGTCTGCAGGGTCACGGACTTGCATGCCCGGAGGGCGAAAGGGAACAGAGAGACGAGGGTTTCCCATTCCCACCCGATTCTCGAGACACGGACGTCTGGCGGTGGTATTTCGGTGCTGTCCAGGCCGATGAATAGGTGCTTGATGGTGGTCGGGCTGGAGTGTCCCCGGCCGGTCGTTTGCTCAACACAGGGCAAAAAACCGAAGTCCACTTGAGGAGAATTCAAGTCTATGTAAATCTTGGGATACTGCATCTCAAGCAATGCAATGATTGCCGCAAACGTTGGAGAGGTGTCTCGGAGCGCGCCATGGGTGTTTTGGTGCTCTTCGTGAGAAGAAGAAGACAGCCAGCAATATTCAATGATACCTGCGAGTACCTCTATCGGGAGGCATGGCAAGGAGGAGAGTAAGCGGCCTGGAAACCCAACTGGTGTGAGCCGTGGAGTACGCGGAGGTAAATGATGAGTTGGCCCACTTCGAAGTTGCATGGTGAGCCTCAATGTGAGGGCCGATATTCCAAGAGAATGGAAGCTAATATGATGTGGACGGGTGAAAGCAAGAGAGGAATGCGAATGCTTGGCATGCGAGCCTGTTGAGCGCTTTTATCATGCTCGACACTTCCCTGCTCCGCTATATAGGAGTCCCGCTCTACGACGTCTACGTTCGCCGCCATCCGCCATCCGCCATTTATTTTAACTTCTCATGAAACAGCAGCACAAATATCCCCCTTCGTCTGCCCGTCTCCAGATTTCACTGACTTCGCCGAGCCTCCGACGCAACAGGCGCTCGGCGTCACTGCCAGAAGGCGGAGCTCGCCGCGTGCTCTTGAACTTTGCTCTCGCCCCTCTCCGCTGTCTCCCTTCGCATATCCATGTCAAATTCAGATCGCCGCAGAAATGGCGGTGCATACTTGCGCAGCGCGAAGTAGGTCCGAAGGGGAGGAGCTGAGGGAGTGACCGCGGGGGACGCGGGCGGCGGCGAAGCACGACCGTCCCGCTCCAGCCTCCGCCCAGGCCTGATGCTAATCCCGCCAGGGGAGACTACCGAGTCCATTACACGCATGCTACCCGTCTTATGCGACTATCTCCACAGCGATCCCGTACCACGAGCGTGCGGATGATACAGTGAACAGGTGTGTTTCACAGCGTCCTCAAGACGGCGAGCCATCGTCGACCTCGCCCACCCCGAGGGCCTCAAACTGCCCTGCCAGACCTCGCGCGGAGCTCGGTCCCGGTGCGCCCCCTTCATCATCTTCCTCGCTGCCTGCCTCGTCCTCGTCCTCGTCGGGCGATGACAGCGCACTCTCCGCGTCGGACTCTCCCGCATGTTCGTGCACCTCAGGCTCTTCGAAGTCGTGACGGCCTTGGCCGTCGTCGATCCAAACGCCGTCTCCCGGCGCGGCGACGGCGGCTCCGGGCGGCCAGAACGCCCACCGGATGCGGCTCTCCGCGAGCGCGCGGAGAACTGCGGAGAGGAAGATCAGTCTCGCAGCGCACGCGGCGGACGGGCTCGCGGTGCTCACCCGCGTTCCCTGCGCGGTTGACGTCGGGCCGGCCCACTTGAGCGGTCGCGTACCCCTTGAGCTCCGCGTGCGCGGAGAGGACGTCCATCGCGGTCCAGACGAGCGGCGCGGTAGGCGGAGGCAGGAGGTCCTTGAACGGGTCCGTGCACGGATCGAGGGCGTCCCAGAACGGGTCCGACGACGCGGTCCACGCAGGGTCCTTCGCCCGCTTGGAGACTGGGGGCGGATGGGTGATCGAGGGGTGGGTGAGGTCGAGGACGCGTTCGAGCGGGAGGAGCTGCGCCGCGCGGTGGACGCAGAGCGGCACCGCGGACACGCGGGTGATGGGGAGGACGCCGCTCAGCACCTGGTCCTCCATCGGGGTGTGGTTCGGGAAGACGATCCCTGGGCAGTCGACGACGCGCACTTCCGGCGTCCAGAAGAGCGTCTGAAAGTGTTTCGTCTGCGTGTGCCCTTTAGCGTCGAATGGCACGCGAGCAGCGGACGCGGGCGACAGACCTTCCCAGGCGTGCGCGACGCGCTGGCTTTCTGCGTGCCAAACAGCGCGTTCAGCAGCGACGACTTGCCCACGTTCGGTTGGCCTGTTCCACCGCAAGTTAGTGGACCAAGTCCGGTCCACAGGCGAAATAAGCGTACCGATGAGACCGATGCTGAGATACTCGGGCTCTGAAGCCTCTGAGTTACCTCCGCTGTCTTCGGATGTAGGTTCTTGAGGCTTCGACGCGGCGGAATCGTCGAAAACAGCACCTACTTGGCTCCCATGGGCAGCCAACACGTTCTCCCAGTCAACTTGGGACCGCATCCGAGGTCTAGGTCTCTCGACCGTAGACTTAGACGCTTCGGGAGACTCAAGGAGCTCTGCGTGAGCGTCTCGAACGGCGTCGACGAGTGTCCTCCGGAAGGCAGAAGGAAGATGGGGCTTCCTGGCGCCGGTAGACGCCCCGCCCGCGTGAGGTTGCTCGGCGTACGACTCGACCTGGACAACGCGCATCCCGGGGTGTCTCGCGCGCAGATGGTGGTGCCAGGCGACGGCGCGCTCGGGGCCGGCGATGTCGACCTTGGTGAGGACGAGGACGATCCGGACGGAGTCCGCGTTGGGCATGTTCGACAGGTAGTCGGCGAGCGCGGGAGGGAAATGGAGGGTCGGGCAGCGGGCGTCGAGGAGGATGAGGATGATGTGGGATATCTCGGTCACGCGCCATCTGCGGGCGTACGGTCAGCGGGGGAGCTCACGAAAGGGAGGATGACGTACAGCTGCCGCCACACTTGCAGGTTGCGCTCGAAAGAAGGAGGAGCGTGAGGCATCTGCGCTGCCTGGGCATCCACCTGGCTGGGATTGGTCCAGTCGTTGAGCAGAGCGTCAGTTTCTGCAAGCCACGCCTCGAAGAGGACCTCCTCGTTCGCCTCGAGCTCCTCCTTGGACGTGTTGTAGTCCCACTGGGGCCGCATGGGGCACCTCAGAGTAGAACCCAGTGCCGGAGGAGCGGGATCGGGGAGGATCGCGCGCTCAGCAGGGAGTGGACGCGTGAGCGGGATCGACGAGGCGAGCGCCCGAGTCTTGTCGAGGAACGACTGTGGGAGCTTGAGGCGGGTCGACGACGCGATGGCGGCGGCGGCCTCGGCGGCGGCGGTCTCGCTGGTGCGTGCGTGGAGGCCCTTGCGTTTGCCCTTGGGGCGAGCGTCGAGCTCGCCGCGCTTGACGGCGCGTTTGAGTTCGTTGCGCTCTTGGCGCCTCTTTCCAGAAATGGGGATGCGACGAGGCATGGGAGGGGGTGCTTCGGGAGCGCGGTGTTGCGAGCGCGAGGTGCTGCGAGTGTGTGAGATGAGTTCTCGACGCGAGAACGGGTGGTGGATAGGGGACGGCCGAGAGGACTTTCATAGGCCGAGACTCGGACGAACGCTCGACTTGCCTACGGCTCCGAACTGGTTCAGAGTTCGCAAGTGCTGTGTGCGGCGGCCGGTGTGCTCCCAGCCACTCAGCAGAATTTACGTATGCTCTATGGGTGGCGGCATCCAGTATTCCGCCGCGCCACCGCCGGAAGACATGAGTCACGACGGTCTACCAGCCCATGGACTCACAGTGACGACCTCCACTTCCTCAAAAAAGGTGTGCTGTGTTTCTCGAGTCAAAACACCCGGTTTTGTAGGAGTCCAACCGGAACCTAGACAGGGGGCGGAGGAATGGGCGGTCGAGTACGAGGCAAGGAGAGATGGCCACGGGCGTTCGCGAAATGGACGCGCGACCATCACGCGACCCACGGCGCTTGCCCGCGCGTGCTGCTGGCAACGACGACCTAGCCTGTGATCCCCCACCATCCATCTACAGAATCTCCCAGATAATTGCTTAAAGTACGTTTAGAGAACCATCCGCGTTCTGACTTTGAGGACTCATTGATAACGCGGTCCAGGATGTCATCTACACCCACTCTGCTTATCGAGCTTCTTCATGCAGTGTTCAAAGAAGCATGGACATCTTGTGCTTTGAACTCCGAGCGAAAATCTCTCTATCTCGCCTTCCAGGCCAGCTCCGTGTCCCTCGCCAAGATTGCAGCCACCGCCGCCGTCTGTTATCCTTACCTTTGCACCACTCTCACAACGACTCATGCTCTCGACTCTGGATTACTGGCTCTGGCATCAAACAACATCGCAGCCATTGACAAAATACTTGCTAATTCCCCAAGCCATACGGATCAACCTCTGATCACTGCTCGTCATATCCGCATTGATGTCGCCACTCTCATGCACTTCAGCGGCATGGCATCCGACCTCTACATCAGCCGGTGGGACGCCTCATGGGACGCCTTCATCCGCCAGCACGCCCGCGTCATCCACGCATGCCCGTCACTCACTCTTTGCGGAATCAACAGCCCTCTCCACTACAACCTCCTCTCCCACATCATCCGCACGCTCGCCGCCGCCCTCTCCTCGCTCACCCACCTCCGCCTCGACATCCCATACCGAAGTAATGTGCGTCTCTCCTACGGCCAAGCGAACCTCCGCGGCGTCTCGCTTCCCAATCTCGCCTTCCTCCGCATCCACATGCCCTTCCCTTGCATCTGCGCCTCCACCCACCCCGCGACGGTGCACGAGCGCGAGGGGTGCTTCCCCACCGAGCTCTGGGCGGCGCTTCCGAACCTCGAGCACATCCAGATCGACGTGCCGGGGATGCTGAAGGACCTGGACCTCCCGTGGACGGTGCACCGCTCCACGCTGGCCGCGGCGCCCGTGCACCTCCCTGGGCGAGAGCCGGCGAGCACCATCGTGGGGTACAACCTCGTCTCGACCCTCCGCCAGCGGATGCTCCGAGAGCCGACGACGGAGGGGGTCAAGCGCGTTTTGACTGTGGAGATCGTGAGCGATACGGAGGAGGTGTTTGGGTACGACGCGGCCGCCGCGGCGTCCGCGCGGTTCGGATTCAAGATCAAGAAGATCGTGCACCGGTAACACTCGTGGGTCTTGACTTTGCCTGTAAATGGATGTTGATGTTGATGGTCCCTGATTTCAGGTGCGCAGAGAGCGCCGCGCGATTATGGGTCGCCTTGTGCGGAGTGCTCCGTCCTGTTGATCGTACTTCCCACTTCTCTATCCCAACCAATCCCCTTGGCCACATCTCTTACATCCATCACACGCAGACCGCTCAAGGCGAGAAAGGGATTTCGATGTTATTGGGGAGTCAATCCGAAGTCGGACCGAATCCGCTGAAGTTGATTGACCGATCCGGTATCGCGCACCTGTACCTCCCGATATCGCAATCAAATGATCTTTGATCGCCCCCCTGGGGTGATTCCCGTTCCGGTAACTGCGAATGTTTCTACGCCTGCGAACCGTAGAGCCTCTACAGATATCGACTACAGATACCTTGTAAGGTAACGTTAGAACGGGTGCTTATGTACAAGTCCCCTGGCCCCATCCCCGACTTCCCCGAGGCCCCGGCCCAGCCCTCCTCCGCGCTTCCCCGGCTCACGTGAACGGATTCCCGCGCCGCGCCCCCTGATGGCCGCCCTTGTTGGCGCCCCCCCGGCGCCGCCCGTCCGTGATGGCCATCCCCGCCGTCCTGCTCGCCGTCCCCGACGACGAGCTCACTGTTCCCGCTCTCCCTCCCGTTCCCGTTCCCCGATTCGCTCCGTTCTTTTTTGTATATACTTATATTACTAATGCGCATCTATCTACACAATTCGTCCGTGTAAGACGTGCTCTGTGGTGCCCCGACCACCCCCTGCCCCCCGCCACTGCCCCCCGCCCCCGCGTAGGGAGGGCGGGAGGTTATGTCAGCATACTCAACGCCCCGGCGGAGGGCGGAACTCTGATGGCGCGAGCGCCGCCACATGGACAGGCACCGCGGCAATGATTGATGCAGCGCGCGAGGCTCGCGCCATCAGCGCGAGGCCTGTGCCATCAGCGCGAGGCTGCCGGCGCCGGCGCCTCAGAATCAACGCCTCGGATTGATCGCGCTCAAGCGCCACCAAGATGGTCGGTCTCGCGCACCTCTCACATAGTAGTTATAATTAGCATTGTATATCCGTGAAGACTCTACTTTGGTGTACTGTAGGGTGTATTGTATGGCAGACATGTACTTTCATTACCATGTTGACCAACAAAGGAGTTTATGGAGCTATCATTCAGGCACGAAGATTAGAATAACACACACATCATCAGTCCCTTCAAGGTGACATGTATGCACTTATCATTTGAACGGCGACTAAGACCTACTACATAATTGTTCAATGTATACAGTATCGTACTAGAGGGACATCAAGTAGTGTTCTCGTTCGCGGCGGCCTCGGCAGCCCTGCGCGCAAGCGTCCGAGCAGTGGGACCCTTACGAATGCCCTTGTCCTTGCGGGGCTTGCGGGGGCGCTTCTGCGGAAGGAGAACACCCTGACCTCCCGCAACGTGGTTGAACAAGGGGTCGGGGACAGTGCCGAGAGGCCCAGCGGTAGCCATACCAGGCGGAGGGGGCGCAGAGGACGTGGAGGACGTGGGCGTGGCCTGGAACACAAAGGTGGCAGTGGAGAACGCGGACGGGGCGGAGGGAGGGGGCATGATGGACCACGCAGGCGAGGCGGAGGACGCAGGCGAGGTGGAGGACGCGGGCATGGGCGAGGTGGATGACGCAGGCGCGGGTATGGGCGAGGCGGACGACACGGGCACGGGTAAAGGCGAGGTGGACGACACGGATGCGGGCGCGGGCGAGGTGGAGGGCACGGGTGAGGTGGACGACGCGGGTGCGAGCGAGATGGTCGACGCGGGCGCGGGAGGGGCGGACGACACGGGCGAGGTGGAGGGTGCGGGCGAGCCTGTGGACGACGTGGGCGCGGGAGTGGACGACGTGGGAGCGGGAGTGGACAAAGTGGGCGCGGGCGAGGTGGACAACGCGGGCGCGGGCGCAGGATGAGTGAACGACGCGGGCGAGGTCGCGCGCGAGGCGGAGGGAGACATGGTGGGTTCAGGGTTGGGCGCCCGCACCTGGAGAGAGGTGATACTGTCCGCGTTGAACGTCACAGCGACCGGGTTCAGGCCGGCGTGGTATGCTTGACGCCAAGTGAGGAGCTCCTCGTTGGTGAGCGACCGAAAGCGCGTCGTTCCGCTCTCCCATGCTGAGCGGAGCACGTTGAGAAACTTGAGGGAGTTGAAGCGGCCGGGCGCCTGGAAGGTCTCGAGTGGCCAGTTCTCGAGGACGACGCCGAACTTGTAGGTAATTCTCTTGGGGAAGTCGCTGTACCACATCGCGGGGGGGCTCCCCCGTGTGGACATCGCCTCTAATGGACACCAATCAGCGAGTAGAATAAACGAGGAAGCGAGAACTTACGAAGCTTCTCCATTATGAGAGCACCGATCTTGGACTTCAGGTCCAGGACGGTGCTCTTGTGCTTCTGCGTCAACCCTATGCAACAGCACTATGATAAGTACTTGAAGACACGGCTAGAATTTGCGTGTACGTACCATTGAGACCAGTGAGGCACCAGGCTTCGATGCGCGCGGCGAGCGTGCCCAACGCCTTGCCAGTGAGCAGCTCGATGAACTCCTCGATGCGCTCGCTGGACCGGTAGACCCAGGGCTTGAGGTAGTTCGCCCGGTCGCCGCGCACCGCGACGAGCAGGACCTCCACGCCGGTGCGCTCGTGGAGACCGTCAAGCTGGGGCGTTGGTGGACTTCAATGGGGAGGGGGTGCAAAGAAAGAAGGTGGCGCACCTCTTCGACCACCGCCATCAACGTCGCACGCGAATCGTTGAAATTCGCGATGGCGATGTTGGGGATGGCGCGCCCCCGCTCTTCGCGCCGCTCGTTGAGCGCTTCGACCGTGTCGCGGCACATGTCCTCCCGCTCCTCCTCGGACATCGCGTGCCAGCGGTCGGCCAAGTTCTTGATGAACTCGGACGACACGCGGTCGTTCGTATTCATCTCTGACAGATGTCCATTAGTTATGGCACTGCAGATGAAAATAAACGCACCTTTGTTATGGAGGCGAAGCTCCTTGCTTACGAAGGCATTCCATAGCGACAGGGCCCGCGGTTCCTTGAAGCGAAACTTGCTCTGGTGGAGAATGAGCCGGTAGTACCATACCGCGCTATGCTTACCCAGCTCGTCATGGAGCTCGACGGCGTGGTCCCAGACCTCGTCGCGGATGGCGTCAAGCCTCTGGTTGAGCGTGTTCTTGTAAAGCCTCGACTTCTCGCGGATGGCCTTCTTCTCCATGTAAGAGAGCTTCGGCCGTGCTCGGCGCTGCGACGACCACGGCATTTTGATGCGCCGCTTTCCCAGCTTGCGCGCAGCCTTAGGTAACTTCTTGATACCGCCATGGTTCTTTGACGCGGGGGCGTCTGCGTTGTTGCGGGCCATGCCGAGAGCGGGGGAAGGGACGCGCAGGGAGGGCGGGAAAAGAAGCAGGGTGTGGGAGTGGCAGGGCTGGATGCTGGGAGGGACCTAGGGCGGAGCGAAAAAAATCTGCCCAGGTCTCACTTGTTGACTAGAGCACGTGATGAAGTGAGCGAAAAGAATGATCCATTTCTTACTCATCATTATCGAGCGGATACAAGATAGCGTCGTATAGACGCTCTAGCTGCACCCCATCCCAGCCGAGGTGCTTGTGGCCGTCGTACGCAAACTCCTTGGGCGAGGCCGCACCAGCAAACATCTGCAGAATGAAGATGAGCTGCGTACCGTCCGGGTCAAGCTCCAAGAGAATCTGCTCGGCCCTCGGCCCGAGCGAGACGGGAAATGGACGAGCACCCCCCACAACCTCCTCGGGGGAGATAAAGAGCAGACGGATAGCTGCGGCGAGCGCGCCGCAGCTCTCAACGTCTCCGTGGTGGCGTGCGGGCAGCACCGCGTGGTCCCGAATACTCGCGCCCTGCTGGAAGGCTGTGGCTAGTCAGTCCATGTCACGCCCACAGAGCAGAATGACATACCGTGTGCGAGCGCGTCGCCTGACAGAGGTGGCGCCTGCTCGCGCTGACTCCCGCGCGATGGGGTGGGAGCCGACCAGTGGACAAAGCTTCGCGGCGGGGTAACGACGGTGCGAGGGTGCGAGGCGCGCGCAGGGGTGCGGGGAATGGAGGGCGCGGGTCGGGCGCGGAGCGGGGCTGGGATGGGGTTCTCGACGTCGAAGTCGATGGGAAAGTTATGGCCTTTCTTCACCATCATGTAGGCCATGGCGCTTGCGAAGGGGAGACCCTTCAGGTCGAACCGCTTGCACCAGCCTTTCTGTTGGACGTTAGGCTCGCCGTCTCCGATCTGAAAACCGACATGGGTCCTTAGATGAGGTCAATACAACGCATGCAGCGCGAGAAGATGTCCTTACCAAGGGATCCCGATAAAAAGGCCTGTGTGACGGCCATCGAGGGCGATACGGACACCGTAAACGGGCGAGCCGCGGAGGGGGATGTTCGCCTCCTGCACACGCCACGCGGCGAGATGGACGTCATTGGCGGGGGTGACGTGAAAGACAGTGCGATTGAGGCCGTTGATGGCCTCCGCGTCGTCGCGGTGCGCACAGCATACCACAATCGGGTAGATGTTGGGATTGTTTCCGACCCCTGTCTGTGGCCTATACAGCGTGGGTAAGCAGGCGACAGCTGTGAGAGAGAGCATTGAATTGAAGAACTCACCGGGTATTGGTGATGTCCGGCATCACGCCGCGCATGTTCGGGCCCAGTACGACATACCACGGACCTTGGAGGGAGGCATACTCAAGGTTTGACGCACTGTGCATGTGTGGCGGCAGCGGCGAAGAGGAGGAGACGCAGAGGAAGGGGGCGATCGATGGTGAGAAGCAAGAGAGGGCGGGCTAGCGCCCACGCTTCCCCGCATTGATCTTGCGCAAAATGTGTTCTTCGGATGCCTTGCAGCCTTCCCCTGACATCCAGGCAGGAAAATAATGCGGGGCGTGCATCTGTCATGCATTCCGGCGTGCAGCCCGGGTATTTGATGCATCAGATTATGAGTGCATTAGTACGTCATGGAATGCAGCGACGTTGTGTGCAGAGGGTCATGCCTTTCATGCACGAAACACACACAAACCATGCTAGCACTGTTATAGGAACATCCAGATAGAAATTTTACCTAGAGCGCACCAGGTCAGCCATACAGACTACATCTCGTTCATTTTTAGGTGTCCAAATAGAAAGGATAGATCGGTAGTTATGTTTTTGTACTCGTTACACGCTGTTTTTGACGAGCGCTAGCGTGTCTCAGGTGCGATCTATACTACTGCGCTATGTAATCGAGCAGCGCGCCTGCTTGCGCTTGTGCCTCATCGTCATACGTGCCCTCAATCCCTACTTCCACCTCGATCGCGCTCGGATCTGGGGAAATGCGGGGGATCGACTGCTCCGGAGTGGCCTCCCTTCCCTCGCGGCGGCCCAGCGTCTTCTCGCCCTCGAAGCGAGGGTCCTTATGTAAGTCTTCGAGAAACGCTAGATTGTACGCGTTAGCTGCCTCGCGGTGCCGGACAAAGTCCAGGGTCGGCCCATAGAGGATGTCGTCGGACTGCTCGAGTTGCTTGAGGACAGCGGCGAAGTCCTGCTGCTCGTCACGTATGTGTGTGTGGAGGCGGCGCGCATCGCGATACACGATCTGGATCTCTTCGCGAGCCCGCTGCAAGCGCCGCCAGGTCCCGATCGCCTCCCGGACTTCCGGCCGCGCCCAGGTTTTACCGCTGACGTCATTCCATGATCCGTGCAGGAGAGCAAACTCGCGAACAAAGGAGTAATGGGAGACCTGATTCCAGTCGACGAGGGGCTTCTGTAACACTGCGGCCGCCTTGTTATACGTTGCGATTGCCCGCCGGATCGCCGCCGACCTCTTCTGCATGTTCTTCGCAATGTGAGAGCGCATTTTGTACCCTATGATGCGCTCCCGATCAGCGCTTAGTCGTACGATCACACGATCACTCACCTGTCTGCGCGAGATGAAGCTTGTGCAGCTCGAAGAGGCGTTGAATAACCAGACGTTGAAGTTTTCCCAGCGCCTGATGGTAACGCCGAGTCGCCATATACGCCTTTGCCTTTGTGTAGCGCGTGTCAGTGGGCAGCCACCGCGTCATGTTCCAGGTGTCCTCGATCTCGGCTAGCTCTTGATCGAGGTCGTTGATCCGCTTGCGCAGCACGCGGTTCGTGCTCTCGGTCCGCCGCGTCTCCCGAGCGTGCGCATTGTAGTCAGTGATCGGGCCTGTGTACGGGACCTGAAATGAAATCCCGGAGCCGTCGGAGGACGAAGAGCCGCCCGCGCCCGCGCTCGCGCCCGCACGCGTGCCCGCGCCCGCGCCCTCGCTCGCGCCCGCGCCCGCGCCCTCGCTCGCGCCTGCACCCGCGCCCTCGCTCGTGCCCGCGCCCGCGCCCATTGGCGGTGGCTGCCCCAGCATGAACGCGCGGGTCGCGGGGTTGCGGGTCGCGCGCTTTGTAGCTGTGCGAGTTTTTTGTGCATATTCCTCGCTGCGCGCGGGTCAATATTGTGTCGCATCTTCGAAAGAAAGGGACACACCTCATCACTCTGAGGTCCTCCAGCCGCTCCACATAGCTCAAAGCCCACTCATCATCAGGGTTTTCGTCGCGCAGGGTCGCAAAATAGAGGCGCTCCTCTTCGGCTGCTTCGATCAGCTGCGCTTCTGTCAGCTGGAGCCGAGGCAGTACAGTGATCAAGAACTCCTCGGACTCCTCGATGATCTTCATCGCCTGTTGGAAGTTGTTGCGCAGGAACACAGCGAGATTTGTATACTTCTCTTCATCCCAGCGACGGAAATAGAGCACAATCAGACTGTGCCGTCGGTACTTGCTCGCGTAACGGATGATCGAAGCGAGCGCGTTTGATCCGCTGAATATGCGCTCCATTGTTTCCAGATCTTCGATGCCGGCGCCGGTGATGACATTAGGATGATGGTGAAGCTGGCAGATGTAAGAGTGAGAGTAGCCGTGGAAAGCATTGACGATGCACAGAGACCCGCGCCTCCGGAACTCGGGACCAGCGCTGCTGCGCGCGAGGGTGCCTTGGAACACGCAGCCGATGTCGTACCCGAGGAGTATGTTGCCGGGCAATTCGGTGTTGATCTTGTCCACCATCGCGATGCCGTACTTAGCGCTGTGAATGATCCGTCAGTTACGCGTCCCACCTAGTCATCATTACTTACAGTTCACCACTCCGGATCATGTCCGCGACCCAGAGGATCCTACCATGCCTGCATGCACTGGCGAAGATCCCCGTCTCGTCGAAGCCCCCCCACATGTGCTTCTTCTCGTCTGCCGCAGCCGCCTTCCAATTCGTGGCACACGGGCTCGGTGCGCCCGCCTCTCCATCCGTGGGATCGCCTTCTGTGTCCGCGGGACCCGGCACCGGCTCGGGAGCCGGCTCTATGGCATCGACGTCATCTCCATCATCTCCGAGATCAACGGTCGGCTTCGGCTGTGCCTGGCGCGCCGGCACTTGGTTCGCGAATTGATCAACGAATGGTGGCCCCAAGTAGTAGGTGTTCTTGTAGTGTCGCCGGTCACCAACCATTCGATACTTACGAAGGAGCCTTTTTAGGGAGTTATTTGCATCCATGCTACCCATGCGCTCGAAGCGGAGAGGGGCCTCTCCTTCCAGCTGGTCGGCACCTGGTCAGCCGGGCACGCGCTCGGCACGTCGCGTAGATCGGACCGGAGACGTACCTTGTATCCACATGGCGGGCATCCGAAGCGCGGACGCCAGTTCGGATCACCGCGCCCGAGCCGCTGCTGGATCTCGGCATCGACGTCATCAAGAACTTCTAGATAGATGTCGAAAGCATCTGCGAGTGCCGTGCGATAGTGGCGTCGGTATACCATCTGTTATCTCCAGGTAAGCTTGAAGACTATTAATAAGATCAAGAGGCTCACATAATACTTGTAACAGATGAGCTTAGCGAAGGCCTCTGTGCTGAAGGATGCCTTGACGAGCTTCAGGCACCGGAACAGTTCCAGCGTCTCGAAGGATATCGCAAGCAACGGCCCGACCGGGGTGTTGCCGAGGTATCCGGCCAAGGCCAGTGCTTCCAATGTCCACTGCCCAGATGATACTTCCACTGTGACGTTCTTCCGCAGGCTGTACAGGTCGACACACACAATTGTGTGTTGCTCAGGCGGCGCCTCTTCTTCCGAAGGTGTGTCTTCTTCGGGAGCTGCGCGCTTGCGCTCCTCTTGCCGACGCGGAACACCATACTTCCACCGCAGGTATGCTGCCTTCACATACGGGAAAACGCGCTGCCAGTTCTCGTCTTGCGTGCGGAGACGATCACGCCAGGAACGCTCGTCAGGGCGCATGCTAGACATACTATGTTATTTCTGCCCCTGGTCATAGATCTTTGCACTCACCCTGTTGTCATATTATTTTCTAGAGCCACACGGAAAGCTTCAACATCTGCGTCGTCCGCCCAAGCATTTTCTTCGTCGTCGCCTTCCACTGCACCGCCATCAGTTGTGTTGCTGACGTCTCCGACGTTGATATTGGGGCCCTGCATATCATCTATTTCGAACGCAGCCATAGCAGCAGCCCGATCTAAGCCACTGAGATCTATGTACTGGTAAGTCTCTGGCTGCTGCATATGTGCATGGAACGTACTGTTGACAAGGTCTTCGCGCCGCCTCCGCACTGCATCATCCGCTGCATCTAGATCGACAGCGCGGATCGTCTCCCGTTTGGAGGTACGTCCACCCAGCCCCTTGTTTTTCCCACCTCTGCTTCTGTTGCGTGGGCCCAAGATGGTGACCCCATCTGACACTCGGTTCCCACTGCTAGACTGAGAGATGGGCATGGGGGTAAGGCAGCACTTCCATCCCCCTGTTCATGAGATAAACAGTGCAATCATTATCGATTATCTTGGTGGCGCTTGAGCGCGATCAATCCGAGGCGTTGATTCTGAGGCGCCGGCGCCGGCAGCCTCGCGCTGATGGCACAGGCCTCGCGCTGATGGCGCGAGCCTCGCGCGCTGCATCAATCATTGCCGCGGTGCCTGTCCATGTGGCGGCGCTCGCGCCATCAGAGTTCCGCCCTCCGCCGGGGCGTTGAGTATGCTGACATAACCTCCCGCCCTCCCTACGCGGGGGCGGGGGGCAGTGGCGGGGGGCAGGGGGTGGTCGGGGCACCACAGAGCACGTCTTACACGGACGAATTGTGTAGATAGATGCGCATTAGTAATATAAGTATATACAAAAAAGAACGGAGCGAATCGGGGAACGGGAACGGGAGGGAGAGCGGGAACAGTGAGCTCGTCGTCGGGGACGGCGAGCAGGACGGCGGGGATGGCCATCACGGACGGGCGGCGCCGGGGGGGCGCCAACAAGGGCGGCCATCAGGGGGCGCGGCGCGGGAATCCGTTCACGTGAGCCGGGGAAGCGCGGAGGAGGGCTGGGCCGGGGCCTCGGGGAAGTCGGGGATGGGGCCAGGGGACTTGTACATAAGCACCCGTTCTAACGTTACCTTACAAGGTATCTGTAGTCGATATCTGTAGAGGCTCTACGGTTCGCAGGCGTAGAAACATTCGCAGTTACCGGAACGGGAATCACCCCAGGGGGGCGATCAAAGATCATTTGATTGCGATATCGGGAGGTACAGGTGGTATCGCGCGGCCGACTCTGCCCGAGTACTTAGACGGCGTTTATTCTGTCTCAGATCCCACCCGGCCCTGACGGCATGGACGACCCACCCAGAACACAGATATCTGCATCCTGCCTCCCAAGAGGCGCAGGATGCACGGCCCATCTCGAGTTCTGAGCTCCTGAGGGCGCAATGATATCTGTAGTGTAACACAGCGAGCATTTATTGTGGTCGTTCGGACTGCCAACTTCTGTCGTCAACTTCCCCAGCATCACGATACCCGTCCTCTCCTTCGCCAACTCAACGATCTCCCGACCCTGCTGCACATCCTAAACCCTTTCACCGCTGAAACCTGCACTAAACGCATCGGGTCCGCCGTTCGTGCCCGGGAAGAGCCAGACCAGTTCCCGTTCACGCGCGTCGGTACCGCGCCTCCCACTCCGCGCGCGACTCACCATGCGGGGCGAGCAGCTCGACGCGCCAGTCCCGCAGGAGGTTCGCGAGGAAGCAGACCCCCGCCGTGATCGCGAACCGCCGTCCGATGCCTGTGGGGCACCGTCGTTCCGGTCAGCCTCGCGGCCCCCCACACACGTCCTGACGGAGCTACTCACGGACTCGGGTGCCGAGCGAGAACATGGTCAGCGCGCTCTCCGGCGCGTCATACCACCGCTCCGGCTTGAACTTGTCCGGCTCTGGGAACAGTCGCGGATTGTGGTCTGCGGGTCGCGCAAATCAGCGTTTTGCGCGCGCCCCCCACGCACGGTGCCGCGTCCCGGTACTCACGCAGACCGATGGCGTCTACCACCACGGGGGTACCGCGCGGAACTGCGATGCGCTGGTCGCGGTTCGGCCCGACATGCTCGAGAACGATGTCTTCGGCCGTGTCGCGGATCCACATGAAGCCGGCCACTGAGATAGGGTAAGCGAGCCCGGCGAGCACGCGGGAACGGTTTGTGGAGGCTCACAAAAGTATCGCAAAGTCTCGAGGAAGCACGCCTGGACCTTGCGAAGTTTACGCGAATTGCCGAAGGTCTGTGTGACAACGTGTTAGTTGGGATTATCCACAGGGTGAAGTCACGAACGAATTCGGCGCTGGTGGGCATCACAGCCAGAACCTCCTGATACATTTCCTCTTGATACTCGTGGTAGAGCCCCATGAATCCGAGAGTGGCGTTAAGCGTCATGGCAAGAGTATCTTTGGGTAGCATCAACGAGGATTCACATTGCAGCCAGGCGATGGATAAATACCGTGTCCCGCAAAGAGCAGGATGGAGGTGTTGCCAATCTGCGCAGAGTCAGAAACTGCTTGCACCACGATAGGGTACGACCCACTAGCTCGTCGTCCGTCATGCTGAGATGTCCCTCATTCTCCGCTGACAGAATCATCAAACTCAGTACGTCGTTCTGTGCTGGTGCGCCGGCGGCGAACTCCTTCCGCCGCGTGTCTATGAGTGTCAACAAGAACACGCGAACGATCTTGTAGGCCTCCTTGATATCCTGCAGTCTAAGGATGCATTGGAATCACATTTTATTTGTTAGGAGAAAAGTGGCACGCTTCGAACGCACCGTTTTATCGGAAGCCAGTATGCGATGCGGGGGACCACCAGACGGAGGATCAGGTTGTGGGTAATGATGTGAAGTGCTTCCCCGAATGACATCGTTTTGGATCCGGGCGTCCTCGGATCCCAGGACAGGGGGTGACCGAACCCTGCGGACGAGATCAACATGAGCGCAAACTAACTCATGGTGAGCAGTGTACGCGAATGACCGCAGCTGGAGACGCACCTTGTTGGTCAACGGGCTGATGTCGAGAATGTCGATCGACTCGAGGCCGTCCCATCCCTGGCCAACGAACATCTCGCGGAAGCCGCGGCATGTTTCGTCCCACACAGACGCAAAACTGCGCTCATTTAAGCTACCACGACAAACAAATGAACGATGCGTATACTGACGTCGAGGTGGCGAACGCGGGATTCATGATGCGTCTGAATCGCTTCCATTCGTCTCCGTTCGCGGCGAACACGTTCGGACCCCATACACTGAAGAGATGCGATTTCAGAAATACCGAGTAAAGAAACGAGCATGATTACTCACAGGGTGATGGCAGTCATCTCCTTGGTCTTGTAGAATTCGCCCTTCATTGCGACGATCTGCCGTGCGACGTCAAGGGACGAGGTATAGATAGCTGGTCCACCAAAGAGGTACGGCAACGACGAAATGGTCTCAGTTCCATGTCGCTTATATACTGTGCAATAATGGTTGCATAACTGAATAAACAGTCAACAAGATGTGGAAGTAACCCACCGTCCTTCCTCCATTGCCATTGCCACTCTCGTCCCGGGTTCCAACGACTGGTAGGGAACAGGACGCCGAAGAGCGAGATCGGTGTGACGAGAGAGCGTATACCTGGAAGATAGCCCGTTTGCTTTCCCCTTGTACGTCAATCAACTGCATGCTAAGGAATTCGAACGAGGCTACACACCTTGGCGTACTGCATGTAATCGAGAATGCGCGTCCCCGCGAAGACGACGACGATGGCAAAAAAGACGTTCGCGAGACCGAAAGACACCTGGAACATCTCCTTGTGAGCCGGGGGAGCAGCAGAGAGGGCTAGCGAGTCGGGGCGGCGAGTGGATGGCGAGGCGCACCGGAGTCTGCGGCGTTGGGAAATCTACCAGCGGCACCGTGGCAGAGACCCCGGACAGTCCCGGGCGTAGTCTTGCGTGGGGAACGCCCCTGCTTCTCCGCTGGTGCCACTCCACCGCCAATCCGCAGAAGGACTCCTGCAAAACCGCAGAAGGACCGCATGGTTAGCACCACTCATCCAAAGCCGCAGAACGACCGTGTTGTCACTGTCGTGCTGGTTACTGATGCCGGTCCGAGAGACACCCTGCCACAACTTCTGTCTTCTCCGAAACAATCAACCCAGCCCCGCGGGGCCTCGGTCCGTCTGCTTCAGAGGCCGTTTCTGGGTCAGGACGCGATGGAGCCAAACACTCGCCTAGAGCGCCAGTGGTAAGTATTAGTGCCCTCGCGCACCACCGCGCACCGCGACCTCTTTTGCACGCGCGACAGAGAAGAGGTAACAAGAAAACCCATGGGTGTCCGTTGAAGACCGTCATGATACAGAAGCGAACGGAGAGCGTACGGACACGGAGACAACTAGACAAGGCGCCTGCGCGCTGGCGCACCGGGTTTCCAACACCGACATATTTTGAAACGGTACAGATTCGGAATCGAAGCGTTTGAAGGACACTACACATCGTTCTAAATGGCGTCCCACTCGCGCCACCTGCCAGGATTCGCAGAGTCCATCTCGAAATCTTCGGAGAAGTCGACACGAGGGTTGCCAGTCCAGAATACGGCTGTCGCAAGGCTGGAGGAATTACTTGTGGGATCGGGGGTTGCGGTCTCCTGAGAGTTTCTCGACTTGGACGCCATCCTTAGGTTGAGAATCATGCGTGTGGACTAGAAGAATGCGTCCGATGATCAGCTCGATTCAGGAATTGGCTCTGTACTATCAGAATCTTGTCAGACTGAACCAACGCGCGCGTATGACAGTGCCAAACAGAGCTAGTACTCGTTCCGTAACTGCCGCCGGATTAGCTGGAGCGCACGAGCTGGCTGCTCGAGCTGGGAATTGCCACTGAGCAGCCCTAACGCCCAAACCTTCCTGCTGTCCACTCGGGACACAAGGAAAACCATTTTGCGGCCAGTGTGGTGACAGAATCTCAGGTATCTAAGCATTCCGCTTTCTCAGTAGCCACGAATCATGGCTGCGTGCCGTCTCCCACCGCACTTTAATCCCACTTTTAGGCCGAGCCCACTAGGAGTAGCTGCATTTCGGTCTCATGTTTATCTCCGAGTTCGCCGACCTCCAGCCACAGGCACGGGCGCTCAGTCTCTGAGTCCCTGCCCGACTTCGCCGGCGGCCGCGCCCGTTTGACTTCGTCGCCATACTTCCCCACATTCAGACATCTCACTTCAAATCAAAAACGCTCTCGAACTACAGACAGCCACACTGATCCACAGGACCGACACCATGTGTCGCGCAATCCATCAGGGAACCACGTTTGTAAAAGAACGACTGGTAGGAGGTAATGGTAGTGCAGGGACCTATGCATCAACAGGTCTCGCTGTCGAAGCTTCAACATCACTGTTTTTCTGTCGCCCTGTGACGCGAGGTATGCACTGCCGAGATGGAGGACAGCGCGGCACCACCGACGATAAGCAGGAAGACAGGCCTGACCGCGTCCACATACTCTACGCAGCCTGGACCGGCTGCTTGAACGCGTTTTGGAGGACTAGTTTTTGAAAGGAAAGTCAGTCTGACTTCCGAGCCTATGTACTAGTCATTGTCGTATTGGCGGTGCTATATACAGGCGATCCCCACCTTTTTGGTAGGGGATCCTGACGTCATCATCATCATCGAGGCCCTGCGAGTACGCGCATCCCTGGCGTTTCTCGTGTGTCTCTGTTGATATTCCGTCGCTAGAGTGCGCTCACATTCGCCTCTGCTGGTGTCCGGCGGAAAATGTCTTCCTGGCACTAATTACTGTCGTAGTCTCGTTATTCTCACCCCACAGTTCAGGGTAACGTTGCTGAGTGGTGCTGGACAGCCTCTTTCAACGCTCACGATAACGAACACATGCGGCTCGCTTCGCTTCTAGAGACAACTTCTGCCTGGGTTATGCCGGCGCGAACCCAAAGCGCACACCGTCAGCGCCGCGTCCCATGCACTCTGCCAGACTGTAGGACTTCGCGTCGTGCACATGGAGGACGCGTCAGGCCGAGGCGATGTCGTCCCGTGGTATGCATCTCTGGAGAAGGGGCTAGGGCCTGGGAGCCTTCCATGCTAGGACAGAGCATACTTGACACAGGGGGTGCTTCTAGGCTGGTGGTTTATCCCGCGATGCCGCCGCATTGATCGCTCAAGTAGGGAGATGCAAATTGAGCATTACTTCCCTCGAACTCGGCAGGCAACTGATCGTACCTTTCTTTCAGCTTTTTACTCCGCTAGCGATATTTGTGAAGACTGCAGCAAGCGACGGGAGCCGGAGAGACGAGAGGACGTCAGACAGATGGATACGAGGGGATAATCATAAGCATAAACGGACGAATACGACGGCTACAGGACTGTCTACAAGGCGTGGCAATGAACTGTACAGTATGAGACGGTGGCTAGATCTCGGCTGCATGCGCACAGAGACGCCGTGAACTAACAATATTCGTGTCAGAAAAGTCCGTATGGCGGTTTCGCTCTATAGCCCAGGCGGATGAGGGGATCCAACCAGTCCTGATATGTCTTTGGCACATACGATAATATTTGAGTTCTGATCAGATATTTGTGGAACAGAGTGTCGTAGGAGATCATATCGGTTCTATATCAAGGCACGGCAATCGGTCCCGCAGAAAATTGGAAATGCATTGTGGGTAGAAGCGGTGACAGGGGACGTGAATCTTATAGAGAGGGCTATGCGAATAGTGCGGGAACTGGTAGATAGCAGAATAATTGCAGCCTGCAAAAAACAACAAACTGCATACTCTTAACGGGATGAGTGATTTCGTACATATAACCAGTCTCTTCCCCTTCATCGTGGACCCCGCACTCTCCCCTGACATGGAATACACCGACACGTACTTGATCCTCATTCTCTTGGGCATCGTTATACTTTCATTCTCAACCCTCGGAACCAATCGCAATGCTCCCCAAGTCTCCAGCTCGCTTCCGAGTGTTCCCTACCGTCTACCATTCATCGGCTCTGCTTTCGAGTTTGTCCTGGACCAACGAAAGTTCTTCAGGTCTTACCGGTATGGTGCTCTGTCCGTCTTATTACACCTTGAGGTTCTTATCTATTCGTGTCAGCGCTCGCTTTGGTCGCCAATTCCGCGCGTTAATAGGTGGAAGGTCTATCATCGCACTCGCCTCTCCAAGAGCCATGGATGCCGTCTACCGCAACCGAGAGAAAAAGCTCGAGGCTCAACGCGCGTTCCGCCGTAGCGCGCTCGGAGACATCCAGTACCCCGACTTCGGCCGCATGCTCACCGACGTTTTATTTCCCCTCGTCGTCAACGCAAACATCCACTCCGACTTTCACGCCACGGGACCCTCGCTGAACGCGCAATTTGAGAGGTGCTTCACGGACCAGCACGCTCTCGGCTCGCCGCTCGCTCTCCGGCGTTTCGTAATGCACACCCTTTTCCACTCGTTCACATTCGCGTACTTTGGCCCCTCCTTCCCCACCGCGGAGGTGTTCGAGGACTTCGTGACCGTCGACGCCCAGTCGTATTTCCTTTTCAACCCGCTCCTCTCCCCGTTCGCGTTCTCCGCGCACGCCGCCCAGCGCCGCATCCACGCCCGCCTCTCCGCGTACATCGCCCAGTGGGACGCCGCGCCGGGGACCGAGGACCTCCCCGGCATCTCCACGCACGGGAACGCGATTGGCCGCGCGCTCGTCCGCTCCGCCATGCCGCGCAAGGACCAGGCGGGGACGCTGCAGCTGTACATCTGGGGCGCCATCTTCGTCAACACCTCCAACGTCCTCTTCTGGGCGCTCGCGCACCTCCTCGCGGACCCTGCCGCGCTCGCGCGCGTCCGCTCCGAGGTCGGCGCCGCGGTCGCGGAGGGCTTCTTTGGCGCGGAGGCGGACGCGCGCTATGCAGCGGACCCCGCCGCGCTCGCGACGGAGCGCTTCGCGCTGCTCGACTCCGCACTCAAGGAGGCCGCGCGCCTGCACGTCCTCCCGGTGTCGTACCGGGATGTGCGGGAGGACATGGAACTGCCAGACGCGAGCGGGACGGGGACGTTCACGGTGCGTAAGGGCGACGTGGTGGTGCCGAACACGATCGCCGTGCACCACGACGCGCAGTGGTTTGCGGACCCGGACGTGTTCCGCCTGGATCGCTTCGTGGGCGAAGGCGGCGTCGAGGCCAACCGGCACCTGTACACGTGGGGAAGGGGGGCGCATATGGTAAGCGACGTTCTAGCCTACAAGTGTGGACTGAAAGCGACTCAACTCTAGCTGCAGTGCGCCGGCCGGCAGATGGCGAACTACTTGATGAAGATGTTCTTCATCATGATGCTCCGCACCTACGATGTCGTCCCAGCAGACGGCTCCCCGGTCGTCAAGGTGCCAGCGGGAGAGCCGAGAAGCGTTTCGACTATGACACCCGTCACCGACCTCAACATCCGTCTGGTGAAGAGGAACGAATAAGGATATCTGTAAAAGGATAGACTGTATGAGCGACTAGAAGGAAGAACGTGGCCGCATGTGTACCCTGTACTATTTATTAGTGCTCAGCTGTAGTCTTGATTTACACGATGCGCATCTTCGAAGTTGAGCACACCGTGCACCAAACGTGTCGCCCGTGCCCAAAGAGAGCATGCTTCGGGGATGTGTGTACAAACTTGTGCTTCGGGCCTCCTCCGCTGTCTCTGCGCATCTTCGCCCACCGGGAAGGGACGAACTCGCCCGCGTCCACACCGCTCACGACCTGCTCGCGGCGCGTCGCGAGTGCGAGTCCGGCGATCGGCGTGCCGCGCGGGACAAACGTCCCGTCGCGCAGCCCCAGGTCCTTGCATCCAGACTCGCCCAATCGCCATGCGCGTATGGAAGTTCTGGGTGCCAACCCTGGCTCGCCACCCTTTACGGAGGTCCTCACCAGCACTACAATGGACGCCGTATCGGGCGCGCGTTAACCGTGAGTGCTTATATGCGGTGTGTTCAAGGACGCGGTAGGTGGCTTACCTCACAATGTGAGCTTTGTGTTTGTGGAGGTCGCTTCGTGGAATTAAGGATCATTGAGAAAGCTGCTGATCCGGGCCGATATGTCGCACTGCCAGGGCATAAGTGAGAGATGGCAAGCGGCGTGCACCCCCAATTTGCTCGTGTTGCTCGTAGACGCCTTGTTGCGTGTCCCTCTAATCTTTGATGCATTGATCACTTCACTGTCTAGATCTCGAGGTGTGCCCGGACGATCTTCGAGGCGTGGACGCCCTATTTCTCGGATTCTGGGCGCAGGTTCTGTATCTCACGCTTCACCCAGATCTAGCAACGGACACGGCAGGAGTCCCGCGCTCACACACCTCCACGTCGAGCCTGTACAATGATTCGGCGTCCAAAGTCCAAGAGATGGCCATTCCAATATACGATGAGTGCGACGACAGCGTGAGGCAAAGCGACGACACAAGAACAACGTGGAGATCGCGAAAAGCTAGGATCATCATCCCGCCGCCGCCAGTACTCGCAGCGCGATGTCCGATACCGCCTTCTCGAGCTGCGCGTTGAACGACGCCTGCTTCTGCACACGAGACTCCTTGCCGAAGCGCTTGTACAGCTCTATGCATAGCAGACGAGGATGTCAGACCCGTCGTCATCGCTCAATGTTGGAAGGTGCACTCACCCAGGAACCGCTCGCCAACCCAGAGGCGAAGCGGTGCGTTCCCGAGCGCAGGTTTGCCGTTGTTCTCGCCCTTGACCGAGGGTGCGCCCAGGCCCGCTGCAAGCTGGTCGCAGGTCTCAAGCATCGACCGTGCGTGGTCCCCGAACGTGTTCAGATAGTGCGCCGTGATCAGCGAGAGAACGAGCGCGCGCATGTGGTTGTCCTGCGCCTTCGACGCGAGCTCCATCGCGCGCTTGAGGTGTTGCCTGCGTCTCAAAAGTCAGCCACCGCCGTCCCCCGAACTAGCATATACGCAGAACGTACTTCGCTTTGAGATGCTCTGAGGTGAGGCACGCCTCGATAATCTGCGCGATGGCCTCCAGCGCTCCGCCCCCCTTGCGACACATCTTGATGACCTCCGCGCCCTCCCGCTCGAGCCCGTCCTCGTCCTCGTAGTCGTGTGGCCATTCGTCGTCGACCTTCGAGAGGCCGTCCAGCCATCCATCGCCCATTGCGGCTCGTCGACGTTCCATCCCGATGCGCAGAGCGAGCTGTGCGGCACGCGCAGTGATGTAGACGTCACTCTTCGGATCTGCGTGATGGGCGGCGGTCCGGTAGCAGCGGAGAGCGCGGGCTGGTCGTGCGAGGGCGTGTGCAAGATGGGCGTGATGCAGCGCGATGCGCGACGAGAACAGATGGAAGACGTTCGCCGTGCGGGCGTGCGCTATGAGCACGTTCAATGTCTGGCGTACGCAATGATCAGCGACCGGCTCCATAGGCTGACGCAAAAAGGCGAAGACCAACCTCTTCCGCGGTGTCGAACTCGCTCCTCATGATGGAAACCTGGAGCGACCATCAGGAGACGCGCACAAGACGTAGAAGTCATCCACTTACCGCGATAAGTTCGCACAGCAGGTCAGCTTTTATCCTTGCGAGACGCTCCTCTACTTCCTGCATATCTCCACCATCGGACCAAAGGGAGACTGCGGGACGATGGAATCAATTTCAAGGGTTTGACGCGCTTCCAGAGACTCACAAGAAATATCGCGCAGCACCTCCGTCTCCCAACTTGCAAGTCCCTCCGCTGCGAACAGTTTCCGCTTCGGCTTGCGTCCGCAAGCGTCCCTCTTCGAAACGCTACTAACAAGGAATGTCAAGAGAAAGAGAACTCTGGGATGCGTGACTTGAACGAAGAGGGAAGGACTGGACGAGAAGTGCAGCTACGAAGCGCATACACTCAGTCATCCGCTCCCGCAAAAGGACAACGACGCAGACGCACCTCGACCCATCCCTCCGGGAACTTCTCCAGCACCTCCGAGTCCATCAACGCATGCAGGTGCGACAGCCGCGGCGCGGCCTCCGCTGCCTCCCCGACTTGCGTGAAGAACACGACCGACAGCACGAGTAGGTGCACCGCCATCGCCGCTCCATCGGGTCCTCGAACGTGATGAACGTCTGCTCCTGCGGTGGGGGCGTCTGCTGCTGGTGCTGGGCGGGCATCGTGCCCTCGCCCCCGTTCGCGTTCGCGCTCCCCTGGGTCTGTGACTGCGACGGCTGGAGCGGTTGCCGCCTGGGGGTCGTCGCGGGCTCGTACGAGAGCCCGAGAGCTTCCTCGGCGCGCACGATGGCGTCACGGACGTCCGCCCACAGGCCGGCGGCGACGAGCGTGCGGGTGCGGAGGACGCGAGCGAGGATCGCGACTTGGTTGTGCCGTTGCGCCGTCGCAAGGTCTTCGACGGTTTGGATGGCGTCGAGCGCGGCGTAGACATCTTGCGCGCTGGCTGGGAGGAGAGAGGGGGTGCGCTGGGAGGTTGTGGTAGGGGAGGTTGGGAGGGCGTTTCTTCGAGGACTTTAACTTCGAGGACTTTGTTTTCGAGTGTGAGGAGCACTGGTGGAGGGAATTTCGGAGGGATTGGGGCCGTCAATAGGCTGATGAGACTGAGTGTGCAGAGTACACGGCGTGGGGCGGGTCGTTGGGCAAGAAGGACGCGATGAGGGTGCGAATCTGGTTGCGTGCAAACTTGATCTTCTGCTGCCACTGGGACAACTGCACTTGGAGAAGAGAGAGTTGGTGACTATATGCGCGAAGAGACGGGTGCTGTTGGAGTGCGGGGCTCATAAGCGGCAAGAATGGGAAAATGGTTAGGATATACCTTCTGGGCAACCATCGTCTAGCGGACGATGAACAGACGTAAGAATACGGTGGATGGTCGCAAATGAACCGCTCACCCCTTTGCTTAAAGCCTTCTCGACCTTTATTTCATCCTATTAGTGTCCAGACGGAGCGCACAGATGATGTTCACGCACCTCGAATTCAATGTCCTTCGCCCACGGATGCTCCTCGCTCTGGCTGAAGCCCCCGCTAATGACCCTCATCCCTATCTCTGCGATGCCGGCCCACGCGCGTACTTCGATCTGCGGAGATATTGACGGGAGAGACAAGCATTTGCGCAAAGCAGTGAGAGAGAGGACCAGCGAGTGGATGTAGTGCTTGTGGTTGGGAGGGTGCGCCAGGATTGACGGGAGGCTAACGAGCATGATGGACGTGGGGATGGGTTTCAGCTTCGGGCCTTTCTTCGGTTGTGACTGGGGTTGCGAGTCGGGTGTAGACTTGAAGCTGGAAGGCAAGCTGGAGAGGTCGGACATTGAGAGGGGGTCGGGGGAGGACGAGTAGTGTGGCTGTATGCGCTGTCGCTTGTGTGGCCGAGGGTTAAGATCCTGGCTCGAAGGAGCGGGAGGCATCATATGGGAAATCATGTGAGCGAGACGGCGAAGGGAGGGAGGGACGCGGGCACAAAGGCCTTGAAAGTGGTCAGAGCAGGGGTCGCGGGCTGAGAGACGCGCCGCTGCTTGTGAGTCACACATGGGTGGCAAGTCGCGTAACGTCACACTCGTGACTGATCGCGTTTCATCACCCCGTGACCCGGAAGTCGTCGGTTGTTATATATTCAATTGAGCCACTCAAGTTCCCAGATTTGACTCAGACTAAACAATAGGAGCTACCCCTCCAGTTACAATGAAGTCCTATACGCTCAAAAAATCAGCATCTATGATACACTGGCGAGAAGGATGCATTGCGAGAGCATCCGGATTCCGAGCACTATATATCTTTACTGTCAATAAACATCGATAGTAGAATGAGTAGAATGTACATTATGTAAGGCGACTGGGACGTAACAACGGTATCTCAGGGTGAGGGTGAGTACATCCGAGCAAGATAACAGAGCGGGGTCCATGCGTGTGTGATAGCAGGTCGAGAAAGCAGGTACAAAGTGGCTTCCGCGGGGTTACAGTACATCAAAGGTGATCACGGCGACGGCGACGAAACTGTCCGTCGAAGTCGTCGGATGTTATCATCTAAATCTGGCGGAGGGTCGGTCGGGTTCCAGTGAGACCCAGAATGGGGATGCGCACCGTTCATTTTGAGTGGCTTGGGCAGGAAGTGGTCCATGCCTGCCGCCTTGCACTCGTCTTCGCTCTCGTGCGTCACGTTCGCAGTGAGCGCAATGATTGGTAATCGACCGGACATCGTCCCTCTGGCCTCGAGCTCGCGGATTTTCCGCGTCGCTCCAAACCCATCGAGTACTATACGCCGTGCGGTAAGAAGCATGGACTAGCGTGAGGCGGAAGAGGGACTCACCAGGCATCTGGCAGTCCATCAGGCAGCACACGAACTCAGTCTGACGGACCGCGTCGAGTGCTTGCTGTCCGTCGTTTGCGGTCGCGACGGCATAGCCTAGCTTCTCCAGCAGTCGCTGTCCTAATCGTTGATTGATCTGCACGCTAGTTAGATATGCTCTCCCAGCGGCAAAGTCACATACCTGATTGTCCTCAACCAACAGCACCAATGGTCGAGCTGACACCGGGGCAGCTTGAACAGGCGACAACGGGATCACCTCTACTTCCCCAGTCGCCTTCAGCACCCCCTGGCCGTTTGCGCTCGCGCCCCCCGGGAGGACCACCTTCGAGGGAGCCTTCTCCCGCAGCGCCGGGGCAGGAGGGGGCAGCAACCCGTCCTTCCCCTCCTCATCCGTCTCCCCGTCGCTATCGCCGTCGGTGTCACTCGCGGCCGGGAGCGCGAAGCGGACCTTCGTCTGCCGCACATGCGCCCCCATCCGCCCCTCCGGCGCCTCCACCCACTCCGCGACGGTGTGCATCACCACCGGCCGCTTTACCAGCACGACCGCCGCGCCGTCCTCGAAGTCGTCGTCGAGCGGCGCGAGATCGTGCGCGTCCGAGTGCACGACGAAAACCGCCACACGTGCCGTGCCGTGCGCCTGCTCCTGCTCCTTCACCCGCATCAGCGCGCGCAGACCAGGCGAGCCCACCGCGGTCTCAGTGTCTGTCCAGATCACGTCGACGCCCGCCGCGAGCTCCGATGCGGACGCCGACGGTGCGCCTGCACACGCGGTGTGACCTGCGGCCGCCCACAAGCGGAGGTACTGCTTCTGTGTGCGCGTGTCACGGTACACCACGCGCACGCGTCTCCGACGGTGCACAACGGGGACGCTCGGCTGCCGCTCTGGCTCCTTGTGTGGGTGCGTGCGGGAGGACGTGGGCGATGGTGAGCGCGAGTGCAGCATCACGGGCAGTTCGACGGTGAACGTTGTGCCCTCACCCTCGGTGGAGTCGACGTCGACGGTGCCGCCCATGCGCTGCACGAGGTGCTTGACGATGCTGAGACCGAGGCCCGTTCCCTGGTGTGTCGAGTAAGCGAGGTGTTGGCTTGACGGAAGGGTTCGAAGAGCGCGCTCCGGAACGATTTCGGGATCCCGCAGCCGGTGTCGGAGACGCGAATCTGAAGCTGCAAGGGGCCGACATCGTGGCCGACAGGCAGATGTAGCCTTGATCGCAGAACTTCTGAGCGTTCGAGAGCAGCTGCACCGGATGATCAGCAGCGCAGTACTGGGAGAGACATTGATACTGACGTTCATGAGCACGCGCATGGCATATGTCTCGTCAAGGTAGACAGACGACGGCACGTTGTCGCCGTTGACACGATCACGTCTACCTTAGGCGAGCCGGGCTGGATCCCCCGAGCTTCTGTGATCTTGGCCACGTCTTCGAGCATCTTGCGCACCTCCATGAGCACGGCCGAGCGGAAGCTCCGAGTTGTTGCGGTCGAGCTATGACGTCATCAGTAAGACAACGACACAGTCCCAAGGCGTACTTTACTGAAGTCTACAACACAGCGGATGAGGAACTATGAAGTCTCACGTAGTCAAAAGCGTACCTAGGACATTTCCTGCGATCACGTTGATTGCATGGCACGCCTGCTGAATGCTTGTGACGTAGAGCGACTGCTCCTCCGTCAACTCCGTCCGCACCAGCAGCTCGCAGTATCCGTTCACGGTATGCAACGGCGTCCGGATCTGCACCGTGTCAACGAACTGTTCCCAAAGAGCCGAGGCACGCACCTCGTGACTCGCCACCGAGATGAACTGCTGCTTGAGCTCGATCGCCTGCTCCGCCGCCTCCTTCTCCGCCATGATCCGCCACAGCGCCGCTTCGTCAGGATCATCTCCGCCATCCGGTTCCGCGCAGTCAGCGCCGCGTGCGCGAGCAGCGCGCTCGACATTACGCTTACAGTCACCGCGACACCCACGATGACCACCGGCAGGAACGCCGGGTAGCCCGGGTCTGGAACGGGAGCGGCGCGGGTATAGAACGTCGCAGCCGCCATGCCTGTGGCGCCAGAATGAGCGCTAAAGACACGCAAATAGTTGAAAGTCGGGCCCACCGGTGTAGTGCATCGACGAACACCCCGCGGAGGCGATGGTGCTGAAGACGATTTGCTGTCCAAAGTGCGACTCCATATGGGACATCGCGAGGCAGCCCACGAAACACACGACGACCGCGACCGCGTACGACAGCGCGACGAGCGGCCCGGACCACTCGATCCGCCCCTCGGGGATCTCCATCGCCCACATGCCTGGCGGTCATGATTCAGCGCATGCAACCTGCAGGGGAGCGCAGAGACATACCGCTGTAGTGCATGAACACGATCGCGGCTGCCCAGACCGCGGCCCGAATGAACAGGAAAGGATTAACCGAGTTCCAGTACTTGCTGCACCAGTACCGGAAGCCGAAGTGGGGGATGGGTCGCTCCTTCGCTCTCGCCCTGATCCTCAGCCGTGCCTCCCGACTCAGCACGTGCCGCAGCGGCTCGTTCCATGAGTTTACAGACGAAGACGACGTGGTGGTGCTCGTAAGCGTCGCATCGTGCGTGAACGACATCGAGATGGAGCCGTCAGAATTCGAAGTCGAGGTGCTGTCGGGCGATGAATCTATTGACTCCCGGCGCGAATCAGGATGAAGCGTGGACGTCGCTGTGGTAGATGTCGATACGCCCTTGTCATGATGAGGTGACGTAGTCGAGAGCCGGCGTGGAGGCGTCAACGGATGCGGTGCTGGGGCCGACGAACCGTTCGTGTGTTGCTGAGTCCCCGGGTGATGTCGAGGGATGGGCGCGTCGTTCGCGGTTCCTCGCAGAGCCTCCAGGTCCTCGTCGTGGTCTTCACTGCTACCAGAGCTGGTGTGCTCCTCGTCGTTCTCGTCCGCGAACGGGCTGTCAGCGACCACGGGCAGAACGGGCTGGGTGCGGTCATCGGTGTCCAAAGGTGCATAGCCGTGCTCGTGCTCGTGAGTGCGGCCGAAGGCGAAGACGCGGGCCAGGCGCAGACAGAAGCGATGGTTGATGCGAGAGATCCAGACGATGGGGACCGAGTTCTCGATCGCCTCGCTCGCATATGGGCTCGAGAGCGCGGCAAAGGTGAAGATGACGGCGATGAAGGCGGAGAAGATGGTCCAGGGGATGTTGAAGGTGACGTTGACGTCGAGCCTGCACGCGAGCATGCTGACTGCGAACAAACAGTCAGCATATATGCCCGTCGAGCCTGAGCACGCTGTAGCGTCATGATCGCGCCGTGCGTGGCTTGAACGCCCTCCGGATGACGAGGGCAAGTGCGACGAGACACACGCCACCCCCCACTCCCTGACCCTGCACTCGACGCCCAAGCCCGTCCACGTGCACCCCACGCCCCGCTCAGAATAGAGAAACTCAAAGGCTCACCAAAGTGCATCGACCAAATGGCACAGAACCCAAACGCGACGCTCGCGAAGGCCGTCCACGTCCAGCGGAGAACGGGGCGCCGGGTGTACTTTGCGTGGATCATGATTTGCGTGCTGGTGTACGCGCCGAGCCACGAGACGAGGTAGGAGAGCGCGACGAGCTGGCAGGAGGCGCGCGCCGGCGTGCGTGCAGTGTCAGACTCGAAAGTGGTGTGCGTGCCGCCGAACGTGACGCACCTCGGGGGCCCAGTGCCGCACGAGCTCCCTCTCGGGGGCGGGAACGTCGTCCATCACGGCAGCAGAGTTCGCCAGAGGGCCGGGCGGGGGAGGGATGGCTGGGTGGCAGGAAGGCGCGAGAGGCGCGGGGGGCGTCCCCCGTCAGTTCACTGTCCCTAGTGTCAGGGTCGTCCGCGTCAACGCGTGTGCGAAACCGCAGGCCCGGAGCTGGCCAGAAGACTTCATGCTCACCCGATAAGCGACCGTCGCTCGCCTTCGTGTCCCACCCCTATAGTTCGAAGGCGACATAAGCGTGCTTTCCGGGCGCATATATGCACACAAGAGGCGGCGTCCGGACATGGCTCGTCGCAGAGAGAGAGGGAGAGAGAGGGAGAGCAAGTCGGAGCAGCAAGCATTTATAATGTGATCGAGATCGTCCGATTGAGGAGCAAGATTCCCACAGGCATCTATCTACTCAATCTCGGCAGCAGCCACGGCTCCCGCGGCGAACCCTACGTACGGTTCGCAAAGTCCGATATTGTTGCGGTGCATGTCAAACGGGCTCGCAGGCTCCTCTACCCACGAAACGTTTGACAAGGAGCGTCGAGTATCCCATTATAATCACCTGACAACCCAACACTACCTGAGGAGAACAATCTATGATACAGTCATGACAGAGCCAGCGAGTCCGTGCGTACGCGGAGTAACACGGTAAGCTACATCTTCCGAACCAATGCGAACAGAGCAGGGGTATCTCGGTGCGGGGGTGACATGCGTACAAGTACATCTGAGCGAAGATAAGACAGCTACGAGAGGAGCGTGTATGCAATAGCGATAGCGAGGCGGGGACACTGGCGTCCGTGGGGGGTATAATACAAAGGGTCAAAGAATCACGAGACGACGACGGGGAGGGCCCGTCGCAGGCGCCGAACAATGGCGTCGAGATCTGGAGGTGAAGGGTCGTGAGCCGCGCGATATATACAGATGAGCCGTTCAGAGTGGGCGCGTACCGTTCATTTTCAGCGGCTTTGGCAGGAAGTAGTCCATGCCGACCGCCCTGCACTGCGCCTCGCTCTCTGGCGACACGTTCGCAGTGAGCGCGATGATCGGCAATCGGCCTGAGAGCGCGCCAGTGCGCTCCAGTTCTCTGATTTTCGTCGTGGCGTCGAAGCCGTCGAGGACTGTGTGGGTCGTCATTAGACGCATGTCTGAGCGCGAGGTGGAGGGGACTGCTCACCAGGCATCTGACAGTCCATCAGACAACACCCGAATTCGTTCGTCCGCACCGCGTTGAGGGCCTGCTGCCCGTCGTTCGCGGTAGAAACGACGTAGCCCAACTTCTCGAGAAGTCGCTGTCCTAATCGTTGATTGACCTAATCGGCGGTCAGACGCAGTGCCAGCGTGAAGTCAAGAAGAGGTACGCACGGGATTGTCCTCGACCAACAGCACTGTGAACGGGTGCACGCTGGGAGGCGACAGCGGGATGACCTCCACCGCCCCTGCCGTCTTCGCCTTCAACGCCCCGTTCCCCGCACGCATCTTCCCTCCTGGGAGGGCGATCCTCGACAGCGCCTTCTCCCTCATCGCCGGGGGCGGCATCGGCACCGGCGCCGACAACAACAGATCCTCCCACTCCGCATCCGTATCGTCATCCGTCTCCGCGTCGGTGTCGCCGTCGGTGTCGCTCGCGCCCGTGGCCGGGAGCGCAAAGCGCACCCTCGTCTGCCGCACGTGCGTCCCCATCCGCCCCTCCGGCGAGTCCACCCACTCCGCGACGGCGTGCATCACCACCGGACGCTTCACCAGCACGACCGCCGCCCCGTGCTCGAGGTCGTCCCCGAGCGGCGTGAGGTCGTGCGCGTTCGAATGCACGACAAATACCGCCACGTGCGCCGCCTCCTTTTCCTCGCTCGAGCCGGGGCTACCCGCGGACGGTGACGAGCCGCGCATGAGCGCGCGCAGCGCAGGGGAGCCCGCCAGGGTCTCCGCGTCCGTCCAGACGGCGTCGACGCCGTACGCGAGATCGGCCAGGGTCGCGGACGCTGCGCCCGCGCATGCAGCATGGCCGGCCCCCGCCCACAGGCGGAGGTATTGCTTCTGCGTGCGCACGTCGCGGTGGACGACGCGCACGAGTTTCTTTCGACGCGCGACGGGCCCGCTTGAAGCATCCGGCGCGGGCGGGTACGCGGGAGACGGCGCCCGCGACGGGGGACGCGAGTGCAGCATCACGGGCAGCTCGACGGTGAACGTCGACCCCTCGCCCTCAGTGGATTCGACGGAGACGGTGCCGCCCATGCGTTGCACGAGGTGCTTGACGATGCTGAGGCCGAGGCCGGCGCCTTGCCGCGGCCGGGTGTGCGAGGTGTCCGCCTGGCGGAAGGGCTCGAAGAGCGCGCCCCGGAACGCCCTCGGGATCCCGCAGCCCGTGTCAGAGACGCTGATCTGCAATTGTGTGGGTCCGGACATGGTCGCAGACAGGCAGATGTAGCCTTCCTCGCAGAACTTTTGAGCGTTCGAAATCAACTGTCCAGCAGGGTTAGAGAGAGGCACCGAGAGCGACGGCGTAACATGACTGACGTTCATGAGTATACGGAACGCATACGTCTCGTCCAGGTAGACCGAGGCTGGTACGTTGGTCGCGACCGAGACCATCACGTCTACTTGTGGCGAACCAAGCTGGGTTCCACGAACCTCCGTAACCTTCGCGATGTCTTCTAGCATCTTGCGGACGTCCACGAGCACGGGATGTGCGGAGAGCTCCGCGTTGTTGCGGTCGAGCTGTGACGTCATCAAAGTGAGCGCACACCGCGGGTAAGTGTGCTGAGACGAACCTTGCTGAAATCTACGGGACGATGCTTCAGCGGTTGTATGGAACAGGAAACATGCGAACTCATACCGAGAACGTTCCCAGCGATCACGTTGATCGCATGACACGCCTGCTGAATGCTCGTGACGTACATCGACTGCTCCTCCGTCAACTCCGCCCGCACCAGCAGCTCGCAGTACCCGATCACCGTGTGCAGGGGCGTCCTGATCTGCATATAGTCAGAAACTTGCGCACACCCAGGAGCTACAGGAACACACCTCGTGGCTTGCGATGGAGATGAACTGTTGCTTGAGCTCCACCGCCTGCTCCGCGGCGTCCTTTTCGGCCATGATTTGCCACAGGCGCCGCTTCGTGAGGATCACCTCCGCCATGCGGTTCCGGGCAGTGATCGCCACGTGCGCAAGAAGCACACTCGAAACCACAGAGAAAAAACCGACGACCGCCATGATCGCGACGGGGATGGACGCCGGATACCCCGGATCCGTCACGGGAGCGGCGCGCGTGTAGAACGTCGCGGTCGCAACGCCTGCGAAAACGGTGTGAGTGACGGGGTACGGTGAAGGCAGGGCGCTCACTGATGTAGTGCACGGAGCTGCAGCCTATCGACGCGATGGTGCTGAAGACGATCTGCTGCCCAAATTCCGACTCGATGTGGTTCATCGCGAGGCAGGCGACGAAGCACAGGACACACGCGACCGCGTACGCGGGTGCCACGAGTGCCCAGTTCCACTCGACCCGCCCCTCAGGGATCTCCATCGCCCACAAACCTGGCGAGCATGGATGAGCGTATGCGATGAACGAGGGCGCGCGTGGACGTACCGCAGTAGTGCATGAACACGATCGCAGCCGCCCAGACGGCAGCGCGCAGATACAGGAAGGTGCTGACGGAGGTCCAGTACTTGCTGGACCAGTATTGGAACCCGAAGTACGGGACGGGGCGTTCGTTCGCATTCGCCCTGATCCTCAAATGGGCCTCCCGACTCAACCCATGGCGTAGTGGTCCGTTCCACGACTCAGTCGACGAACACGTGGTCGCACCAGGCGTCGGCGAGATCGAGCTGGAGTCCTCAGAGCCCGAAGTTGAACAGCTGTCGACGGACGAATCCGTCGATGATCGGGACTGCACGAGAGGCGGCCTTCTACCGTCAGGAGGGGTAGCCCTGGTTGTATGCGGTGCGTTACCGGGAGTCGAGGGCCTATCTTCAAGATCAGCGACAACGGGCAGGATGAGCTGACGGTCTTCACAGCTCAGAGGAGCGTAACCTTCCTGGGGGCGGCGGAAGGAAAAACGGTCGACTACCGCTTGCCAGAGTCGCGAAACGCAGAGGACGGCGGTCGAGTGCTCAATCGACTCCGTTGCGTATGGGCATGCCAGCGCGGTAAAGGTGAAGACGACGGCGACGAAAGCAGAAAGTATGGTTAGGGGCATGTTGAAGTTGACCTTGACGTCAAGCCTGCAGGCGAGCATACCGACTGTGAAGGAACAGATGAGTACACGCGTCTTGAACAGACGTATGGATGCAGCACCCAGCCACAGTTCGCAATACAGCAAGCTCTGAGGCGCATATTGTGAACTGGAGAACTCACCAAAGTGCATCGACCAAATGGCACAAAACCCAAACGCGGCGCTCGCGAAGAACGTCCACGTCCAGCGAAGGACAGGGCTCCGGGTGTACTTTGCGTGGATCATGATCTGCGTGCTGGTGTACGCGCCGAGCCAAGAGATGAGGTAGGAGAGCGCGACGAGCTGGGGGGCATGCATCAGTGGACGTCGAAAGGTCTGAAGCCAGTGCTGACGGACCTCAGGGGCCCAACGGCGGACAAGCTCTCTCTCAGGAGCGAGGGCGAGCACGACATGATCCATGGCAGGGTGCGCCTGCGGGCGAGTGAGGTGGCGGTCGCCGGGGGTGGTCAGGAGCAGAAGGCAAGACGAGGCGGAAGACGTTGAGCAGGAAGGCTGGGGACGAGTTGCGCTTACACAATCAGAAGGTTGGGATCGAATCGGTGACGTATGAAGCCGCACTAGTCTAGTATGCGCGCGCGCGTTTGGTCCGTTTCAAACATTAGTACCTTGGATGTGGGCTTGTGTTCAGACGAGCATCCTTGGTATAAACCGCTTGTACACAGGATACTACTCGGTCGTGTCGCACACGGAACCAAGGATCGACTCGACGTTGACTTTATTCATTGACTTTCATGTATATGCCGCATGCACCGCATCGTAATTCTGGCGGAGTTGCCCTTTGAAGATGACCATTTCATCGTAACGGGAATGAACATTGGAATGTGCTGAACATACTGCAAATCTCGCCTCCGATGCCGAGGTAAGCGCTGGCACGCGATTGGCGGTGCGGGCGCTGCGTCCCTACCGACGGAGACACCGCTCAGCTTTGACGAAAGTGCCGGCCGCAGTAGCCTAGGTCAACAGACCGCAGGACAGAGAAGTTGGAGTCGATCAACGGGAGAGCTACTTATTGGAGCCAGAGACGGGTAGCCGATGGCGTGATCTTGGTGGCTGATGTGGTGGTGGCTGGTGGTGACTGGTGGTGGGCGCTGGGGCGCTAGGGTTGCGACTGGGTGGGTGTCGAGGGCGTTGAGTATATGGTGCACATACTTTGGCTGAGGGCCGGAGGGGCGTCGCGGGGGGAGAGACGTAGGGTGGAATGCGTAGAGGCGGCCGTGGATGGCGACGGGCTCGAGGGAAAAACAAACTTGGCCACGTGGGCGCCGAGGATAGACGTGAGCTGAGCAGGGAAGGCGACTAACGACTCTCACCGCGATACCACCACCAGCAGACGCTGCTTGCACTCTCCTTGTACTTCCTCTGTAGATAGGCCCAGGATGCAGCGGGTGTGGTCGACGTACCTCGACTCGAACGGGCTGCCCATCTCGGGCCCTGGGGCGAGGACGCCGGAGCCGGTACGTGAGAAAGCCTCTGTGCACGTTGCCGCCCTTGACGCTCTGCCCGCACCCGCGCTTCCTCCTGCTCTGTCACCGCCCCGTCGCTCCTGTCTCTCGTCCTTTAAATCGCACATGCTCTTCGCCTAGATGGAGCGCAGCCCGTCGTGAGTCTTCCTCCCATGTCCCAACCCACGCGCTCTCATCCGCCCCTCGACTATGATCCCTACAACCCTCACCCTCCCGGCCTCTTCCACCCCGCCCCCCTCGACAGCCACTCCCGCTCCTCGTCTCTAAACTCCCACTCGCCCTCCGTCCAATCCAACACAAACTCCACTCGTTATATGCTCGCCGGCATGAACAACAACAGCAGCGGTCTCGACCCCCCAACCCTCCCTATGGCTCCCGCCCGGGCTCCTTCCGCTCCTCCTCCCCCGGCACCGGCACCCCCCTCATGGACACCAAGGGCCTCCCCAGCTCCCTCTCCGTCAACTACCTCCCCTCCAAGTTCTCCACCCTCACCGGCGGCGGCGTCCGCCTCCGCAAGGGTGGCAAGGGTGCCCCCATCCCCATCCCAAGCGCGGTGGGGGCCGAGATGCCTTCAAGGCGAACGAGGCCCGCATGCCCGGCGAGGGCGACGACGATTACGATGGTGTCGATCCCGGCCGCAAGGGTGGCCGTCGTCTCCGATGGAATCGTTTCAAATGGATCCTCTTCGTCGCCAACCTCCTGGTGAGTCATCTTTTCGTTCTCCTCTCCTGCGCATCATGCCTCCTGCCGAACGCCGTGCGGTCGCTGTCTTGTGGTCGGGACGTATGGGCGGGGCGCCGGATCACCTTGCCTACCCTTCTGTCCTTGGCATTATCGGTGGAGCGCCCGTGGCCTGGCACGCCCACGCATGTCTCGCTTGATCCGCTGCTTCCCTGCCTGACACTCATTGTCCGCCTCCTGCAGTTCTCGATCTACTCGCTTGCGGGCCTCATTTCCACCCTGCTCGTGTACTTCAACGCATGGACACACGCAGACATCATCCGCGTAGGGAACCAAACGGAGCTCATCATCTCCACCGTCGCCGCCGCGCTTGGCGTCCTCACCTCGGTCATCGGCTGGGCCGGGATCCTGCTCAACAACCGCGCCTTCCTCGCCGTCTACTCCTTCCTCCTCTGGATCTGCTTCGCCCTCCTCGTCACCCCAGGCTACATCACCTACAAGAAGCGCACCTTCAACCTCGAGGGCAAGGTCAACGCCCAGTGGTCCCGCGACCTGGGCCTCGATGGCCGCCTCCGGATCCAGAACCAGCTCCACTGTTGCGGCTACTTCAACCCGTTCATCGAGGCCACCGTCTCCCAGACGTGCTACGCGCGCTCGCTCCTGCCCGGATGCAAGGCGCCGTACATCGAATTCGAGCGCGTCGTCCTCAAGCGCTGGTACATCATCGTCTTCGGCCTCGTCCCTTCCAGATCGCGATCATGCTCGCCGGCCTGTTGTGCTCGAACCACGTCACGTACCGCTTCGGTAAGGGCATGATGCCCAAGGCGTACCGCCTCAACATGAACTCGATGGCGGTGATCATGGACAACTACGCAAAGTAGGTGGCGCGTCGATGCCTCCCAAGACTCACGCTGACTTTGGTGCCTTTGCTTAGCCAACTTGCGGAGCAGTATGGGAACGACGTTGCGTCGGAGGTCATGTCGCGCTCGCGATCGAACCTCCAGCTCGACGCGATGCCGACGGTGGGGTACAACAAGTAAAGTCATTTGTGAGCCCACGATGTGCGTCTGCTCTTCCCCTCGCGAACATCCGGCCGGCGGCAGCCGTAACGCCCCCCCCCTCCTCCTCCCGTGCCGACGACGACAGACGAACCTGGACAGACATAGCACGCGCGGACGACGTAGCATACCACCCACGATACACACGAATACCCCACAGTCCTTACGGCTAATAGACACTCTTTCCCGTGCATCGTCTCGTGGGCCGGCTGCCGTCTTGCCCTCCGCGCGGAGCATCGTTACTGACTGGTATGGACGAGCTCCCGCATTTTCGCCACCATCCCCCCATAATCTATAGCATACGTAGCTGCGCCCATCACGATTTCTGCTCCGTACATTCGTCCCGCCCCACCCCCTTTCGACTTTTGACAATTAGCGTAGGACATGTATTACTCGCGACCGCTGCGCCCACGGACATTTTTCCTACATAGTTCGGTTCGATTACCCAGTGCGAGCATGTTTCGTGTGGTAGGGACGTGCGAAAAGCATGCCTGGAAGCAGTGAGCTCCAGGCCCTATGTATGTAGCTACACCAGATCTGGTGGGCGTGTCCGGATGAGAAGCCCGGCAGAGCGGGGAACCCGCAGGTCGCATCGAAGCCGATTGGTTTAAACGGTAAGTAGTCTGGAGAACGACGGGGAAGCGATGGCGCGGAAGTCGCGAGACACGGACACACAGGTCCGTGTGTGGTCTCGGTCCAACGCTTCGATGACGAGCACCCGAATTACTGCGGGAAGGTCGTGTTCCATTGTGCAAAGAGTGGGGCGCCAAAGTCACATCGAATCGCATCCGACTTGAGCTTGAAGCCACGGCGTGGGTCCACGTGATTGGGACTTTTCTCGATCATTTACAGCCTGAGGCTTGCAACCATTTGCATACGAACTGTAAATCCTGCGTACTGCCAAGTGCAGAGTCGGTGAGTCTCCATATGCTACGCTGGTGCCTACATCTATCACTACGCGCCCTCGCGCCTTTCGGTGAGTTAAAAGTTTGTCCCAGGTTGTGCTCATCTCCGAGGTTGGCTCGCGCTCATTGCGCCGCGTCTTATCTAGAAAGCGAACCTAGGAGGTCCGTTCGGAATCTATTCAGACGACAATAGCTTAGACTGAACAGCACTACTAACCACAGAAAGTGGAAATGTAGGCCACACTACCTGTGTGCGGCGTCCCCTGCAGCGTGAGCTACGTATGTAAATCTCACGGCGCTGGACAGTCGGCGAGACAGATCCGACATTCCGGAGCTCTCGCTTTCGTAAGTGCATTTCAGCATGCAACAGCCGGGGGCTGACATAACCGGGTGTACATTTTGCAGGTAATCGCCTACATGGATTACCGAAGCCACCTCTTTGTAGTTGACCCTCACCCGAATCCACCAGCGCCGATCTGTGACCATTGCAGCGACTTGCGGTAATGTCGGACCCAACATCAGCATATGCTCCCATGTGAAGTTCACACGAAGGTGTCACCGGCCACGCTGCTCGCTGTACATTGGCACAGCATCAGGAACAGTATGTGTGAATGGCAACACTGGCGCTTCGTTCATTGCAAACTTCGACGACGACTGACAAAAACAGCACAATGGCCACAAGCAATTGGTACTTCCCTCTGTAAGTACAAGGCATTCGGCAGGCAAGTCGCGTAGTTTTGTTGCTGATCAAACGTTGCGACCATCAGGCGTCAGGCTTCAGGACCAATACATACAGGTTTCGCTCAGCCATTTCCTCAGTTTCCCATACGTCCACCCGGACCATATGGTCGCGTACTGATGCGCGCACCGCGGGCGGTGTCTTTTAGTCTGCTCCCGCCGCCTATTTAGCGACCCTCCCTCGCTTCCAACCAAGCATCCTGTGTCCCCGCCCCAGCCCGGTATGATCCTCCCCAGCAGCTTCGTCGCGCTCGCGCTCGCCTCCCTCGCCGCCGCCGCGTCCGCGCCCGCCCGGCGTGCGGTGCACGAGACGCGCCGGTTCACCCGCGCGGCTGGACGCCCGTCCGACGCGCGGAGCCCGACCTCGTCCTCCCGCTCAGCGTCGCGCTCGTGCAGTCGAACCTCGATCGCCTCGACGACTACCTTCTGGACGTCGCACACCCGGATCGCCGAACTACAGCAGCACTGGACGCCCGCCGCCGTCGCCGACGCCTTCCGGCCATCCGCGGAGGCGGTCGAGGCGGTCCGCGCGTGGCTCACCGCGGACGGTACGGTGGACGCGTCCGCGTCGTGCTCAGCAAGGACGGGACGTGGATGCGCATGAATGCGACCGTCGCGGAGGCGGAAGCCTCCTCGGGACGGAGTACTACGTGTACGAGCACGCCGACGGGAGCGCACACATCGCCTGCAAGGACGGCTACAGCCTGCCCGCGCACGTCTCGAAACACGTCGACCTCGTCACACCGACGCTGCACTTCGCGAAGCCCATCAAGCACGAGAAGTTTGGTAACGCTATCAACCCTTTGATCGGCGCCGCACAAAAGGTGGGAGAGTTGTCTGTTTGAAGATCGGACATGACGCTCACCACGCAATTCACAGCACGTCCCTACGGATCTGTCCACCTGTGACGAGCTCATCACTCCGGACTGTCTGCGCGCTCTCTACAACTTTGAGTACAAGATTTTGGCTGCGAACAAGAATGCCCTGGGTATCGGTATGCAGTCGTCTTCCTACCGTTTCTACGTTTACTCACACGGGCATCACAGTCGAGTACTCGCCCAACATCCTGCTCCCCAGCGACCTCGACGTCTTCTTTGGCAACTTCTCCCCAGCCAGGTCGGCGACCGCCCCACGCTGATCAGCATCGACGGCGGCAGTTTTACCTCTGGAGACGCCAGCGACCCGAACTTGATCGGTGAGGCGAACCTAGACGTGCAAACCGCGATGGGTCTGCTCGGGCACCGGCAGCAGGTGAAGCTCTACCAGGTCGGGGACGTCACCGGCCTCGAGTCCTTCAACAACTTCCTCGACGCCCTCGACGGCTCCTTCTGCGCCGGCGACGACCCCGAGTTCGACGCGACGTACCCGAACGACCAGCCCGGCGGGTTCACCGGCCCGGAGGCCTGCGGCAGCGCGCCCACCACGTTCGTCATCTCGACGTCGTACGGGTACCAGGAGGCGGACCTCACGCCCGCGTACGAGCAGCGCCAGTGCGCCGAGTACGGCAAGCTCGCGCTGACCGGGGCCACCTTCGTGTACTCCTCCGGCGACTCTGGCGTCGAGGGCTTCGACGGCTCCTGCCTGAACGACGCCGGGGAGCAAGTTCAGGGCGGCACGCGCTTCAACCCGACCTTCCCGGGCGGGTGCCCGTACGTGACCTCCGTCGGGGCGACGCAGGTGGTGCCGGGGAACAGCGTGCGCGATCCCGAGAGCGCGGTCTTCCAGCGGTTCCCGTCCGGGGGCGGCTTCTCCAACGTCTTCCCCGTGCCGTCGTTCCAGAAGGCGGCCGTCGCCAACTACCTCGCGCACCACGTCCCGTCGCTCCCCGCCGGGGTCTTCAACGCGTCTGGGCGCGCGTTCCCGGACGTCTCCGCGAACGGCCTGAACTACTCGATCGCGCTCCTCGGCCACCTCCGCCCGATCTCGGGCACGTCCGCGTCGGCCCCGCTGTTCGCGACGCTGCTCACCGCGGTGAACGACGCGCGGTTCGCTCTCGGCAAGAGGCCTGTCGGCTGGATCAACCCCGCGGTACGTGGATCTAGCATCCCGACTGGCTCTTTCGCTGACGCCCCCACGCAGATCTACGCGCACCCCGAGATGTTCAACGACATCACGAACGGGACGAACCCGGGCTGTGACACGGACGGCTTTGCGGCGTCCGCCGGGTGGGACCCGTGACCGGGCTCGGGACGCCCAACTTCCCCAAGATGCTCGCGAGGTTCCTGCTACTCCTTAGAGCGGATTTTCCTGTGTGTCTGCCACCTCCTCGTGTATTATACCACTCGTTGTATGCCAAGAGGAAAGTCAAAATCATCATGATCGGAACGGAAAAGTATCCATTCCGTTCGTGACTATCATTTCGCAGCACTTGCTCGAAGTGCACTGTTTGAACGTGCCAATTTGAAGCTAATATGCCGTTCCGCGATATCTCTCCCACCTCTCCTCGTTGCCTTCATACTTTTCACATGGTGCAATCCGCATGCCTCCTATGTACAAAAAATCACCAAGAAAAATCACTAGGATAAATGCGCGAGGAAATACTGGCGCACCCCAGACACGACGGTTGGCGCCGAATACATAAAGATACTATCGCTCCGCTTGAAAAGCGCCGAAGGAGGCGACAATGTCAATTGTGAGAAAGTCACGACTTCGTTACTCAAATTGCGAGAGCTCTACTGCCAGAATCTCGCTGTTTTTCGCCAGTGGCTCGTAGGAACCTCTAGATATATGTCTCATACAGATTGTAGCACAGAAGTGCGAGGGCAGGTGGGGAGAGGCCGACGGAGCGCGTCGATGTTGCTCAGGCACGCTTGACAGCATCGTAGTTGGTCCACGTGGCCAGCACCGCGTCCTACGACTCCACCGTCAGCGACCGAACGGCCAGAAGCCGAGACAGACTCACCAGGTCCCACGTCGCCTTGAAGATCGGGTGCGCGAACACGTCCGCGACGTACGTGCGCAGCCGCGCGAACCTCTCCTCGTGGGTGTACGCCTCCCACGCCTTGCGCCCCTCCCCCGCGGGTACTTCCGATATCGCGCTCGAGGCACATCAGCGCGCGCGCGAAGAACGGCGCCGCGACGTTCTCCGCCATCGACCACTGCCCGAACACGAACCCGCCGTCGCGGCCCGTGGGCTCGTCCGGGTACCGCCGCGCGGTCCCGGTCAGCTCGTCCTGGTAGCGGACGAACGCGTCGAGGAGCGCCTGGGGGTGCTCGCCCTCGTAAAAGACGTCACGGAAGGCCTTGGCGAAGGCGAACTCGAAGCGGAAAATGAAGGCGCGCACGCGGCGCGCGCGGCGAGGTCGGTCGGGAGGAGGTTGGCGTCGGGAAGGGCCTCGGCGAGGAACTCGAGGATGGCGAGGGACTCGTTCACGCCGACTGTGCCCGGTGGGGGGTCGGTTGGAGAGAAGTTTTCGGGCACGTCGAAGGCAATGGCTGGAATCTGGATACTCCGTAAGAGGTCGCCCGTACTGGCAGAAAGATGGAAGACGTACGGCGCCGCTGGGGTTGATGTGGCGCAAGTACCACTCCGGGCGGGGGTTGGTAAACTGGAAATCGTGGAACGTGTAGTTGGCCTTGGCTTGCTCGAGCGCGAGCCACACCCGCTGGCCAAAGTGGGAGCCCTGAAACGGAGTGAGCGAGGTATGAGACGCCACGCAAAGTGGACGGACCTGGACGTTGTAGAGGATGATACGAGGCGATGGCATGGTTGGGAGAAGGGGAACGTGGAGAGCTGGAGATGGACCGATGCCTGTCACCCTTTTATGCAACTGCGAGGCGGCCGCTCAGAGCCTGCTCAGCGCGCTCGGCAGCGCACAAGCGTTCAAAGTCGACGCGGACCGCGGTTCACTCGAGTCAGCAGGGGGAATTCGGAATGGGGCAGATGATTCAGCAGGCGAATACACAGCTGACTCACCGAACAACCGGTTCCTCCGATCCACGCAGAATAACCGCGCTCCTATGCAGTCTTCTGAGAATCTCGACAAGGACAGGAAGCAGCACTGGCGCCTACACGCGACGCGACGCGTTGGCCCCCTCTCACGCTCGTCACGTGTCACGTGGCGCAAAATACCGCCCGTGCGACGCGTCGAGTCGCGCCCCTTGTCCTCCTTGCCTTTCTCCAGGCTCTCCATCCACCCTTCCTCACACTTCCTTGTCCTCCACTAGCACTCCACAATGCTCGAAGCCAAGCTCTCCGAGGCCGCAATTCTCAAGCGCCTCATGGACGGTACGCCTCCGCATGCCACGCTCATTGTCCACCCGCTCACGCGACGCGACGCGCCCCCCAGCCGTGAAGGAGCTCGTCTCCGACGCGAACTTTAACTGTAACGAAGAGGGCATCGTAAGTCCTACTGTCATCCCTGCGAGATCTCCGAGTGACCGCGTTTGCAGACGCTGCAGGCGATGGACAACTCCCACGTCGCGCTCGTCGCGGTCAAGCTCGACGCGCAGGGCTTCAAGCGCTACCGCTGCGACCGGACGATCCCGCTCGGGGTGAACGTCGGTTCGCTGACGAAGGTGCTCAAGTGCGCCAAGGACGACGATATCTGCATCCTCAAGGCGGGCGACGACGCCGACATCCTCACGCTCACGTATGAGTCCAAGAGTGCGTGTCCTTCCTTTCGAGCCCGGCTCCACCTTCTCCCCTCCTGCCCCCGGGACTGACGCGGCGCGCGGCGACAGACACGGACCGGATCGCGGAGTACGAGATGAAGCTGATGGAGATCGACGCGGACACCCTCGGGATCCCGGACACGGACTACGACGCGTCGGTGACGATGCCGTCGAGCGAGTTCGCGCGGATCGTGCGCGACCTGTCCGTTCTCGGCGAGTCCGTCCGGCTCGAGGTCTCGAAGGAGGGTGTCCGGTTCGTGTCCGACGGCGAGACCGCGAACGGGAATATCTTGCTCAAGCAGACGGCGGAGGCGGGCAAGAAGAAGGGCTCGTCGTCAAAGGGCAAGGCGAAGAAGGAGGATGACGACGAGGCTGAGGCAGAGTCGGAAGACGAAGTGAGCGACGGGGAGGGCGGGAAGGAGAAGATGAAGATGAAGAAGGTGAAGAAGGAGGAGGGCGAGGACGTGTCGATGAATGGGGACGAGGAGGAGGGCGAGGAGGAGTTTAAGCCGACGAAGGTGAGGAGGATGAGGACGAGGACGAGGAAGAGGGCTCGAGCAAGAAGCGGAAACGCTCTCAGAGAAGGTAGAGAAGCTTCAGTCTGGCACATGTCCCTGCGTCTGACTGGGCGAACACAGAGCAAGCCCGCGAAGAAGGTGAAGAAAGATGCGGAAGACGACGACGACGATTTCGAGGGGGTGCGGATTGAGATGAACCAGGCCGTCACCCTCACGTTCTCCCTCAAATACCTGGTCAACTTCTCGAAAAGTTCGTCACTCGCGAAGAAGGTGCAGCTCATGATGAGCAACGATGTCCCGCTCTTGGTGAGTATGTCCTCCTGCTGCACACAGAATGAGCTCTCACTCGACGCGCCCATGTCAGGTTTCGTATGAGTTCAACCAGGGGTACATCCGCTACTACCTTGCCCCAAAAATCGGCGACGACTAGGCGTCTCCGTGCATACGTCCGACCTGTCGTTTTTGCTTTGTTTGCAACATCCTCATCACATACCGTCACTCGCTCTGTACAGTGTTTCTTTAATCAATCAATTGATTTTCGTCGTGTCTGAAAAGTAGGGTACTATACTTGAAGATCTAGCAGATTACGCATGCATACGCTATTTGCCCATGGTACTGGAAACCAACGCGTCCAAGACTCAACCCGACACTCCTGATCATCCCACGATTAACGCGTCTGCCGTGCGCCTCACCGCAGCCCCATCCACCTCTGCCTTGTCCACTCTCGCATAGAACGCTTTGAACAACACTCCCATCGCCTGTTTGCGATTGGCGCAGCGTTGACCGCGGCGTTGACGGCGGGATCTGCGAGTAACTCCTCAGCGTTGCGTCCACTGTGGCCTGAGACATCAGCGGGGGGAGGAAGGTGTTGATGAGCGCGGCCTCCTGGAGCTCTTTCTCGGCGAGGTCCGGGCGACGAGCGGCCTCGAACTCGGCGCGGCATCAATCTTCGTGCATGCGGGCGGGGGCGAGGCGCGAAGGAAAGAAAAGAATGAGGGTGAGCGAGAGAGCGAGAAGGGGGCGAGAGCGTACGCGGCGCTGGGCGGCCTTGCGAACGACGACGGCGAGGGCCGAGGGCTCACGTTCCCTCCGGACGCGGCCTTGTCTGCCGCGTTCATTTCAGACAAGACCGACTGAAGGACATGCGCACAGGGTGAGACCCGTGGCGGGACAAGAGAAGAGGGAAACACGCACTCGAATCGTCGTGGACTTCATGGTGTCTTTGCACTACACGTCGTCCAAGTCAAACACCAGAACGGCGCGTCTCGACCGGGTAACATGAGCGCACCTGCATCGCGGCTTTGAGAGCGGTCTTAAGCCTGTCACGAAGAGCTTGCATAGGGTGTTGTCAGTACCTCCTCCGAATCATAGCAGACGTACCGAGCGTACCAATGGACTGCTCTGGGCCGGGGCCTCTCGCTGTGACATGAATCGCGAACCGAGCGTTATAGGCGTGCTCCTCCATCGGGCCGGGTAGATCGAAGACCGTGTTGAAGTGCGAAAGAAGGCAACAGAAACGGAGCGCGCGATAGACGACATGACGAGCTGGACGGCTGGCTGAAGGGTGTCCGAGTCGCGAGCGCGCCTCTCAGGCGCGTCATATCACGAGATGAAATTCCCAATCCGGAAACGTAGACGCCAGTGGGCGCGAGATCTGCAGAGTCTGAACGCGCACGCGTTGTCTTCTCCCCTCTCCTTCCTCCCTCTCCCCTCACTGCCCTCTCCTACAGCCAAAAATGCAGGCAGGAGGACAGACACCGTGTTTGTGATGAGTACGTCTGCTCTCTCGCATTGATGACCAGTCGATTGACTGCTTCTAGACACCGCGCCCGAGAGGCAGTCGGGCCGAAAAGCACAGATCTCAAATATTACCGCCGCCAAGGTATGCGAGCCGCTGTATGCGCGGCATTTCGACGCTCACCGCATGCAGACTGTCGCAGATGTGATCAGGACATGTCTTGGCCCCAAAGCCATGCTCAAGATGATTCTTGATCCTATGGGCGGTATTCTGTGCGTCGCTCACTCCGTGGATCGTTTCCGTAAGCTCATGTACACAACTCAGCCTCACGAACGACGGAAACGCCATCCTTCGCGAGATCGAGGTCGCCCACCCTGCCGCCAAGAACATGATTGAGCTCAGCCGGACACAGGACGAGGAGTGTGGAGACGGTACGACAAGTGTAATCATTCTCGGTGAGTCTCCTCCTTTGAGGGCGTCCTCTCGTCCCAATACCCCCGCTTTAGCGGGAGAAATTCTCGCCCAATCTCTCTCCCAACTCGAGCGCGACATCCACCCCGTCGTGATCATCTCCGCGTACAACAAGGCCCTCCAAGAGGCCCTTGAGATCATAAAACGCATCTCCATCCCGATCGACGTCAACGACGACGAGCAAATGCTCTCCCTCATCAAGACCTCGATCGGCACCAAGTTCGTCATGCGCTGGTCCGACCTCATGTGCCGCCTCGCGCTGCAGGCCGTCCGGACGGTCGCGCACGACGAGGGCGCGCTCAAGACGGTGGACATCAAGCGGTACGCACGCGTGGAGAAGATCCCCGGCGGCGAGATCGAGCAGAGCAAGGTCCTCGACGGGATCATGCTCAACAAGGACATCACCCACCCGAAGATGCGCAGGCGGATCCAGAACCCGCGCATCGTGCTGCTCGATTGCCCGCTCGAGTACAAGAAGGGCGAGTCCCAGACGAACATCGAGATCTCGAAGGAGGCGGACTGGGCGCGGATACAGGAGATCGAGGAGGAGCAGATCCGGCTCATGGTCGAAAAAATCGTCGAGCTCAAGCCGGACCTCGTCATCACCGAAAAGGGCGTCTCAGGTGCGCAACGTCCCGCCGTCTTGCTTCCCCCGCCGCTCACGCGCGCGCAGACTATGCCCAGCACTTCCTTTACAAGGCGAACGTGACCGCACTCCGCCGGGTGCGCAAAATGGACAACAACCGGATCGCGCGCGCGGTCGGCGCGACGATCGTAAACCGCGTCGAGGACCTTCGCCCGTCCGACGTCGGGACCAAGTGCGGGCTGTTCTCGGTCGAAAAGATCGGGGATGAGTACTTCACCTTCCTCACGCAGTGCAAGGAGCCGCAAGCATGCACGGTGCTCCTCAGGGGGCCGTCCAAGGACGTGCTGAACGAGATCGACCGGAATCTCGCGGACGCGATGTCCGTCGCGCGCAACGTCTTCTTCGACCCTACGCTCGCACCAGGCGGCGGCGCGACGGAGATGGCGATCTCGGTCGGGCTCCAGCAAAAGGCGCGGAGCGTGACGGGCGTCGAGGGCTGGCCGTTCCGCGCCGTCGCGGACGCGATGGAGGTCATCCCGCGCACGCTCGTCCAGAACTCGGGTGGGAACGCGATCCGCGTGCTCACCGAGCTCCGGGTGCGTCCTCTCCGCTCTCCTCTCCTATCCGTTCTCTGACGTCGCGCGCAGGCAAAGCACGCCAACGGGGAGCACTCGTGGGGCATCAACGGCGAAACGGGCAAGGTGGCGGACATGAAGACGTACGGCCTGTACGAGTCTGCGAGCGTCAAGGTGCAGACGCTCAAGACCGCGATCGAGGCCGCGCGAGTGCTGCTCCGCGTCGACGACGTTGTCAAGGCCACGCGCAAGGACAGGGAGCAGGGCGGCGGCGGCGGCGGTGGAGGCGGTGGGGCGCCCCCCGAGGAAATGATGGAGGGGTAGCGCGCGAGGTGACGCCGGCAGTCTCGAGCAATCTAATCACTTGTAATATGACGTTCAATCGCACTCATGCGCATCTCCTTCAGACAGACCTAAGTTACCATCGTCTTTGCCCATGAAACCCGAAGCGACGGTTTGATGTGCGCGCGCTGTCTCTCACCGTTGTGTCCGACGTGACTCGGAGCACACGGAGTAAAGGCTGTAGCTGTGTTAAGACCAATTTGAAGTAAGCATGCATTCGTTCCTTCAAAAGTTTCATAAGTGGTTGACCCTCACAGAATATATGTCGACCTACTGCCATTCTCTATGGAATTTGTCGTTGATCTTTGCTTTGTTCAATCTTAGGCCTCATGGCCCAATGATCCAGACCCTGCATACAGTCAACTCCCTCAAAACCCATACCCCTCGGGATGGCCCCAAAAGTATGGGTTATGCGAGGGTATGTGGTATGAGGAGAAGCGCCCACCGTGGCACCCGATCACATAATCTATTGACGCCCAAACATCGCCCGTATTTCCGCCCGCCTGGCACACTCGAAATCCTGCCCGTGTCCCTCTCCGCAATCTACGTACGAGTAAAGTAATCAGTGATACGTGTGTCAACCTTGTCCGCATCCATTGCCTTTCGGGTCTTACGGCCAAAGGCGCCAAGGGCTGCCTCCAGCTTGCGTGCCTCTGGGCCCTCAACGAGAGCTGCAAAGTGGGTGAGAACTGCGGCAGCTTGCAGTGCCTCGCGGTGAGATGGCGGCAATTCTTCCAGCTCTGTTTCCTTGGGCTCGGGCTCATTCTCGACTGAGTTGACAGCCTCCCAGTCGGGGAGAGTTCTGACTGCAGGGCACACGGGAAAGTTCTGCCCATTTGGGCGGCACGCATGGCATAGATCTAGGGCGCTAAGCGCGATTAGATACCATAGTATGGGTTATGGTTCCCGGTTTGAGCTATGGCTTATGGGGTATCAGAGGGTTATGGGTTATCTCACTGTACCAACTTGAGAAGGGCCGAAAGCTATGGGGTATGCGAGGGTATGGGGTATGGGGGGTATGGGTTTTGAGGGAGTTGACTGTATCATTCCCAACGTCCCCAGTCATGCATGACACTTCGCATCCTAGGACCATGGCTGTGCCGTCACGTTCAAGGCACCCATATACGCTGTGCCATTCAACGGCCTTCTTCGGACAAGCCATCTGTCCTTCCCCATCAGCGCCGACAATTCTTGCGGACCCGAAACTCAAAAATATATACGTCGACGCAGGCGAGAGCGCACCGCCAGCGTCGATAGAAGGATGCTTTCGTACGTGTACTCGGGCGGAGTCATCAGCCCGAGACGAACGTGGTCTCATGGATGGAGACGTGGGGGGAGGTGGAGCATAAAAGCTCTGGCTTGCTCGCCGTGGACTTCACTGCTCCGCCCTCCCAGAGCCCGCGGTTCAATACCTCCTTCACCTCGCTCCAAGATGTTCTCCCGTTCGCTCAGCTCCGTCGCCCTCCTCGCGGTCGCCGCTCTTCACGGTGAGCACCCTGCTCGAGCTGATCACCTCCGAACGAACCCGGCTGACCCCCACCCATCTCCAGCGAACGCCCAGGCAGCGGCAGACTGCTCGCGCAACTACACCGTCGTCGCGGGGGACACCTGCGACGCCATCTGCCAGAAGGAAAACGTGTCGAGCTTCCAACTCGCGAACGTGAACCCGGTCATCGACTCGACCTGCCAGAACCTCTTCCCCGACGAGGTGTGCTGCTCCTCCCGCTGCTGTTAGTTCTCGAGCTCACGCCGACAACACCTCGCAGGAGCTGTGCCTCGGCGTCGTTGGCCAAGACTGCACGCTCACCCATACTGTCGTCACGGACGAGACGTGCGTGAGCATCGCGGCGGCGACGGGGACGACCGTCGAGCTCATTTTGGAGAACAACCCGAACGTGAACAGCGTCTGTTCGAACATTCGTAGCGGCGAGGTACTTTCTGTCGCTGGCCTGTGTACCGCCCAGTTCATTAATGCTCACTTTCACTTCTAGGTTCTCTGCGTTGCGGCCACCGTGGTCGTGTCGACGTCGACTTAGTTCACGCCGCACGGGACGTGTGCAAATGGTTCGACGGCTGTGTCGATGTAATAGTAGCCCGTCAGAGTAACCGCGCTCCGGATCGGCGCACGTCTGCCATGACCGGCGTCCGACTCAGCATGGTCCAGCGGTGCGAGGCCGGATCTGCCGAGAGACCCGCCTCTCGCCCATAAATTCATGCCAGAACCCCTAAGTACCTTCGTAGTGCTAAGTACGAACTTTACTTGGCTCCGAGGCGGGATGCGTGGGGTCCGCGAAAGCTTTGGCACCTCTGCAGAATTGTTCGGGATGCGTTGCCGGCGAACTTGCGCGTCGATGCGGCAGCCTCTGGCAGACACATCTGCTTGACGATATCATCGCGACCGGGTCAAGTGGAGACAACATCTCAGCCGTATCATCTAATGAAGTCCGTTGTTGCCTCGATATTTGCGTTAGGGGGTACGGTCAGCCTGAGCCCAGAGCCCGATAGGCACGGCCGCGAGTCTCGGCCCACATGCGCGGCTCTTAAGGACGCCCGGCTTTTTTGACTGATCCGTTGGGTGCTCTGATTATCGACTTGAAGGGCGATAAAATTCACGCAGAGTGCGTATATAACCCGACGAAGTCCTCACTACAAACCACCCCGTTCTCCAGCCTTAATCGCCACCACATACACCATGGCCAGCGGATCCAACATCCTCTACGCAGGAATGGTGCTATACCGTCTCCTTACCTCTCCGCACAACCACGCTGACTCCGCCCTCAGAGCGACTCCTCGCACTTTTCGCAGCGCGTCCACCTCGCTCTCGAGCATGCCCACGCAGACTACTTACACGATCTGCAAGGTCGACGTCCGCCCCCCGCGCGAGCCGTGGTACGCCGCGCGGATCAACCGCCTCGGGAAGGTCCGCGCGCTCGTTCTCCCCCACCGTCCCCCGTCCAGCGCTGACCTCCCCGCCGCTCGCGCCCCCCAGATCCCGGCGATCGCATACGACGTCCCCGCCGACTGCGACCCGTGCGACCCGCCCACAGGCACGCTCATCCTCCCCGAGTCGCACGCGATCCTCGAGTTCCTCGCGGACGTCCTCCCCGCCGCACGCATTCTCCCGCCCACGTCCGAGCTCGCGTCCAAGCTCGTGGCGCGCGCTTCGAGGCCGGCTTCGCGGACGGGTTCCGGAGCACGTTCCGGAGCACGTTCCTGGGCGCGCTCCTCACGGAGTCCGCGAGCGTGCAGGCGGACCTGCCCGGGACCGGCTGGGTCGCGGGCGGGTGGCGGATGGCGGAGATGGTGGCGGGGCTGCACGTGGTGCGCGCGGTGTGGCTGCTCGAGAGGGACGTGGGGCGGTACCCGGAGGAGGAGGGGAGGAAAGCGTGGGAGGAGCTGATGGGCGACGACGAGTACAAGAGGGTGAGGGTGTGCGTGCAGGAGATCGCGGCGCACCCGACGTTCAAGGCGACTTATACTGAGGTTTGTGCCCGTGTGTTCGCGCGGGATGCTGATTGCTGATCTCGATCGTGCGGTTTGCAGGCTTCTAACGTTGCGGTCTGGAGTGGTCACCCTCTCCTCCAGCGCGACCGGTACATGCATGTCGTCACCATCTGCCAGGGATGATCAGATAGAGGTGCCTGGATGAAGGTAGCAAGTTAAGAGTATATGCGAGTAACAGTGTGATGACCATCCAAGGGTAGGACATGATTTGCAGAGACTAGGGAAGGAGTTTTTTGAGCTAGAGCTTGCGGTCGGCTTGAAAAAGGGGTCGAGGGGGGATGCCGCACTGGCCCGGTGAATCGTCGAAGCCTCTCGAAGGTTACAAGGGGTATTGTCTGTATTGTTCTCTTCGTCGAAGCGGCGGCATTTGCGGAAGACGCAGGGAGACGACGTGCAGGTCCGTGTACTGGAAGCCTGTCGAGAACAGAACCACGTCGAGCGTGGCCTGAGCGTCTGGAATCCTTGTCACAAACAGTTCCGAGCTTCATTCAAGTCGGCAGGGAAACACACGCAGTTCAAACGTTTATCAACCTGACACTTCTCTGCGCATATGAGGCATATGTGACGCACGAGAAACCGTCGCTATCCATCTGCCACCGCCGCACCTGCTCCGCCCGCGCCCAACTTCACCCTCTTCGCCTCCACCTCGCCGTCCTCTCCCGCCTCCTCCGCACGCTCCTTCCTTCCCTCGCCCGCATCCCCCTCTTCATCCGGAACGTGCCGCTTCGCGCCCCGCGCCACCTGCGGCTCGCATGCCGGATCTGTTTCGAGCGTGAGCAGCGCGCGACTGGATCGCAGCGAACGGCCTTAACGTACCGACTACGACGGCAACCCCGCTCTTCTGGCTCGCCGACGCGGGTTTGGATAGTGCGGGCTCTTCAGGCAGGGGCCGGATGTACGGCTGCACGAGCCAGTGGGGGAGGACGGGGAAGCCGGTCGCGGGATCGAGGCGCGCGAGCTCCTCGAGTGGCTTGTCCTTCGCGCCCGCGGCCTCGATGTCTGCCTGCCGAACGGCGAAAGGGCGTCAGCCGAGGCTCACAGAGAGAGGGGGGGAGAAGAAGCGATCCAGAGTCTCCCCCTTCGGAGAAGCCCCCAGATCGGAGACGCGCAAACTCGAGACAAGAAGCACTCACGTCCAGCCGCGCGTCGAGCTCCCGGACGATCTCCTCGTACCGCTCGAACGCGCCGTCCCAGGTGCGCTCGTCCTTCTCCGCGCGCACGCGGCCCATCCGCTCCCTCAGGTCCGTGTGCTTCGCGAGCGCCGTCCGGAGGAGCTTGAAGAGGTGGCCCTTGACCGCGCTCGGCGCCGTGGGCGTCTTCTGCTCGCGGACGATCGTGAGGTACTCTGAGGCTAGGGTGGTGCTGCGCGAGTGGAGGCCGGTGAGGTATTTCGCCATGGGTGAGGGAGTAGTGGAGGTAGAGGCAGAGGGTTGGGCGGGAGTGAAGATGGCAGGGTTGTAGAGGTTACCCTCGGCGGACATGACAGCGTCCGCGCCCGTCGCAGCGAGGCACCTCTCGACGTCCCCGTGGAAGAGCATGTTCCCGTTCGCGACGACGGGTACGGAGACCGCGTTCTTCACCGCCCGGATCTTCTCCCAGTCCGCGACGCCCTTTTACGCCGAAGATGAGAAAAACCTACGCAACGAAGGCGCAAACTCACAGATCTGTGGCCCCGTTGTTCGCGCATGCGACCGTGACAGGTGAGCATTTGCGCCCCGGCGTGCTCGAGCATCTTCGCGTATGCGACCGTCTTCTCGATCGTTGGGAACACCCGGAACTTGGCAGTGACGGGGATGGACAGGTTCTTGTGCAAGATGCTGACTGGCCTCCGCAGTTGAGAGGTGCGTCCGCAACGAGAGAAGGAAGTGACTCACTGAGGTCGTGAATGAGATCCCATTCGTCTTGCAAGAACGACCCATAATGACCCTTCTTCGCGATGTCTTGTGGGCACCCGAGGTTGATGTCGACCGCATCGCAGTACGGTTCCAGTGCCTTGGCGGAGGTGAGGAGGTAGTCGGGGTTGTTGGCGCAGAACTGGATAATGAGCGGCCTGTCTCCGGGTCCGCCTTCTTCTCCTTGCACGGTGTTGAACTGGACTTCGCGGTAGTTTTTGTGCTTTGCGTCGGCGAACATCTGCGCAGGGATATACTCGGCGTTCATCGCGCATACAGGAGCCCGTGGAACGTACCTTGGCGTTGATCATGGGCGTGTACACCAACTATCCAGAACGGCTTCAGCACGCGTCGTAAGCGCGAAACGTTGAGAGACGCACCTGGGCGCCGTACCTCCTGGAGAGTTTCCTCCATGCCTGCGGGAAAGGTCGGTGAGATATAGCGCAGCACGCGAAAAGGAGGAGACGGAGGCGGGAGGCGGGGAGGCGGGTGAAGAGGAGACGTACGAGCTCGCTCTGGTCGACCATGGGCGCAACAATGAACTTGGGGCTGCCGAGAACGGTTTCGAAGAACTCGTACCCGGCAATTTTTCTCGATTCTCCCGTGAGTCCCGGCATTATGCTATGTACAATGGGACGGAGTGGTGAGGTGAGGGCTCGCTGGACGAGCTGGCGGAGGGACGCTATCTTGTTCGATCAGAGGGGGTTGTGTGGTCGAGGATATGAGGGAGGTGTTTTCCAGTGCAAGCCGGGGTCTACGGTCGAGAGAGCGGAGGAGGTGGACGGGAGTAGGCAGTGGACGACTCGCTCGAGCCTGACCAGATTTTCGATGCGAGAGCCACACCAGAAAAGGAAGTTCGGCCGAGTCTTCTCACGCCCCTCACGCGATGACCAGGCGTTCTTCTGCCACCGCGGGCCACGCGCTACGCCGTCCACCTATTTCCCTTGACAACATGTTCCCGTACGTTCATTTCGTTTGCGAAAGTGCGAGCATTCATCAATCCACCCGCCCAATTGAGAGGGGACTCGAGTAGCTACTGACACACATGCCAGGATTTTACTGCAGGCCTCCTCCCGCAAGTGACTCGCATCCGTCTTCCGGTGTGTTCGTCGCTGAGCTGACGGAGATGCGTAAGTAAGTGGCGACCGTGGCACCAAAGCCTACCGATCCGTGCCTGGGGGCTGGGACAGAGCTGCGACCACGCCACGGCTCGCGGAGATGACACGCCCACTCGGCGACACAGGCTTGGAGGACAGCTGAACGCGTCGCGCAGGGAGCACGGGGCGTGGCGCGTCTCGTCCTCGTCCTCGAGACGTAGCGCGCGGGTTTAACCATATCCGCCGCGATGTTCATTTCCTCGAGCGCGAGGACACCTTCATTCCGCTGCGTGTGCATGTGCAGGAGGAACGTCGGCTCGGCTGAATGGTGGGAGCACCTAGGCGGATATCCGGATACGAGGTATGTCGAGCCTCGAGGTGTGTGGACTCGTTCGTCGAACTCGGCGCGCGGGGCAAGGATAGGCGCGCGACCGTGGCAGACCCGCAAAAGGCTAGATGAGAGCCATATCCGGAGAAACGCAGGCGCGCGCGCGCAGTCTTCTCACAGACGTCAACGATCTTCATCTATCGTCCGCCGGTCGAGCAGGCGAGACAAAACTCGAGCCCAATGTCCGCCCAAACCGCCTGGATCCTCCCCGCCCTCTCCCTCCCTCCGACGCCCGCGCGGCGCTCGCCCCGCTCCTCTCCTCCCCACCCGCCCGGACGCGATGTGCCATGGCCGTCCAAGACACCGTCGGTGCTATCCTCATCGGTGCTCTAGTTTCGGCCATGTGAGCCCACCCTCCACTCCATGTACCCAGCCCAGTTTCGAACTCGCCCCGCGTCCAGATTGTCCGGAGGGGTGACAACACAAGCCCTCATCTACTGCAGACTGTACGGACGCGACGACTTCCGTCAAAACACCCTCATCGTGAGCCCTGCTTTCACCCCCACCCTCTCCTCCGGACCTGACTATATGCACGCGAAAAGGTCTCCACCCTGTGGTACGCAAGTCTCGCTCTTGTCCTGCATTGCTCCCACACAAATGTCCCCTGCTCGCTCTAGGCTGCTCGACTGCCTCCACCTCGCGATGGCGTTCGCCTCTGTCTGGATATACCTCATCCAACATTGGGGAAGCAGCACCATCCACGATTACATCCCATGGTCCGTCTCCATCTCCCGTTCTGCATTCACGCGCCCATGCCGTCCTCCCCCGCCTTCTAGGACCATTGCAGTAAGTTCGCCGCTCTTCCTCCTTTTCCTGCGTGCCTCGTCTGACCTCCCATCGCCGCCCGCAAAGCTTACAGTCGCGATCACCGTGAGTCCAAGAGCGTTTTATTTTCCCCGCCTCGTTTTTAATTCAAACGCCCCGCGCCCAGGCTATTGTGACTCTCATATCACATTGGTGAGCGCTCTTCGGACGCAATCCGAACCTCGTCCATTCACGCTCATCCCCTTCCGCAGCTTTTTTGCACACCGCGTCTATATCTGTACGTCCTTCCCTCTCGCCACAGAAGCGAGGCCTGATTTTGCCGCAGTGAGCGGTTGCTCGTGGCTGTTGACGGCCCCCATAGTGAGTCTCTTCGTACCAACTATTCGCCCGCGCGCTCATTAAAGGCCCCCGTGATTTTAAGATTCTTCTCGCTGGCAGCCGTCTCGGTACGTCACTAATACTACCGCACTCGGGTAAACGCTCAATCGGAGAAATTCCTCACAGCCGCTGCCCTTGGTACGTGCTTGATCTGTTGCCCGCTGTCATGTCAAACATGGTTGCTCACCTTATCTGGTGCCTAGTATCAACATTCGAGATGTTAGTCCCTTGGCGTGGTCGCATGATCAATGCTGATATATGGCCTTCAGGATCACGCTACAGAGTTATGAGCAGTTTGTCGATCAAGTCGGTGTGAGTGGCACATGCATCATCATTCGTAGTGCGAAATTGACTGCCCGCAGTGGGTTTTCACAATGGGCCTCTCGCTGTCTACTGCGACAGACGTCTTCATTACCGTAACCTTAATTACCCTCCTGCAACGCAGCCGGACGGGCTTTTCTACCGTGTACGTTCTCCGTGACTTTTGTCGAACTGTGATTACTAAGGCGCTCGGCAGTACTGACCACTTAATCGACGTCGTGACATTATATACCGTTGAGACAGGTCTACTTACAAGGTTCGCCTTCTCACCTCCGCCTTATCTGCATCCCGGACTGATCGGAGTGATGCATGTATCTTTGCAGTGTTACCACCGCTGTCTCCCTGGTCTGCGTACGTACTTGCGCACCCCACGCTCACATGGCGCCTGCTCACCTAGTTTGTCGGACGGTCGTCGAACATACAGTGGCTCTCCATGCCCCGGAATCTAATATTCCTTGCCCTCCACTTCTCGATCTCGAAACGTACGTCCGTTCCTTCTCCGCCGTGATAGACCACGCCCCAGCACGTCTGTCCCTCTCACTAACGTCATCCCGACAGTCTACGCCACCTCCACACTCGCAACGTGAGTCTCTGATGACCCGCTCTCGCACCAGGGGGCCACTGGCGACGTGCGCATGTGCACTCAACCATCGCCATCACGCCCTCCCCGTCACGTCACTGTCAGACGCACTTGCTGATGCCCACGCGCACGCTCGACAGGCTGAACGCGCGAAAGTCGCTCCGCCGACGCACGCGGCAGGCGCACCAACACGTCCTCCCTGTCATCTCCTCGCTGCACGAGAGCCAGACGCGTCAGGGCGCGCACGTGGACGACCTCGTACGTCTCGTCTCCCTCCCCCTCTTCCCTGTTTCGTTGGGCTGATCGATCGACTCGTGGCCGCGTTTCTCAGCGCGATAACCTGAAGACGACGTCCGAGGACGGCCGCACCCCCGCGCCCGTGCGCATCCGGGTGAGCGCCTTCGTGCCCGCGTCCCCGTCTGCCATCGCCCGAGCGCTCGCGCATGCTCACGCTCACGCGCAGACGTTTTCCCGCACGCTGATGGACGGCAAGCCGGACGCGGACGCAGACGCGCTCGGGCTCCCTCGGACGCTGGACACCGCGCGGCTGTCGGTGTAGGTAGCTCTGCTCGGGATGCTTGGAGCCGGACTCTGGTCTGTTGGACTTTAGTACACATGCGCTCGCACGAGTCGGACCGCCGTCACCCCCACATACACACAATCGTTTGTAGCATCCCGTTGTAAATTTGATCTCGCTTCATTGCGTCGGCGAATTGCGTGCTTGTCGTAGAGCCCCGCTCTAGTGGGAGGAGCTCATGGCGCCGCGCGTGCGGGTACGAAGGTACGCGGTATGCCCGACGGCTCTCGGATGTGCCGGGAGCGCTCCGACGGGGATGCCACTCGAGGTGGGTGAAGGCGGTGCGAGCCCGCTGCGTCGGTGGACTCGGGCCCATTATGGTTCGTATGTACAGAAGGCTTCGGCTGAGGTGCACGGATGGGGCTAGTAGTAGATGCGCGGTATGACGATGTGTTGGTATCGCGGCTTGAGTTGATTGATTGGTTGAAGATTAGATTAGATGCGGCCCCGTCGGGTGCTACGGGCCTCCGTGTTTCCCCGACTTGAACTCCGTCGACGCAGTGACCATGCGCTTGTCAAGGCTCTTCTCGCCTTCAACCCCGGGCCCACTTTAACCCCAGAAGGTCAGGTGGTCGCGCCTGCTGGTGGGTTCGTCTCGACTTGTGTATGCCCCTCCGATGATTTGCACTCATTGCGACGCGTCTGCACAGGTGAACGCGCTGCCGTTCGCCCTTCCAAGCCCTCGTAATCATGAATTGGTTTGCGCCGGGCTATCGATATCCCCTCCGGAGCGCCCTCGCCTCCCCTAGACGTTCGTGTAAGTGATCGCGCGACCTGTGTCCCAGAGGTCCTCTTGGGTGCTCGTCCTCTTGACTCTTGAGCCATGATGCTTGAAAATAAGATTTGCTAGCTCGGCCCACCGCCATAGCTATGACGTCGCGAGGCCGTACTCTGTGGGGAGAGCAGTGCCGTTGCAGTAGGGAAGGGGCGAGTCCGCGAAAAGCGGATAACCGTCAGCGTCGTACCGTACGGTGCGTATGACTAGGGTACATCCTCATCTTCACGCTCGGTCGCTGACTCCTGGGCCTGAGGCGTCGAGACCTGATCCCTCGGTTTGGCAGTTTTTAGCCGCAGAAGCACTGCAAGAGTGGGTCCTCGCGTTCTGCGACCATGGGCGTCACGACACGCCTTCGGCCGAACGCGGCGTGGGATTGGGCATCAGCGCTCCATATCCGCGCGCCCTTCTTTCGCGCGACGGCTGCTTCTTCGCTGGCCATTCGGGCTCGTCATTTCCCTCCGAACGCATTGCACGCCCGCGAGTGATGCGAGCCGCGCGGCCGGGCCTCGCGGACGCGCAGTCTCATGCTCGTCGATGTGCGCTGCACGGACGCCCGCTTTGGGAGATGCGAATTCAAACGAAGGACGTCGCGTTTGTCAGCGAGAAGGTTTGGATTCGGGTACGTTCGTTCGCCCGCGTCCTTGTGACTTGCCTGATCGGGCGCTGAGAGAGATAGGCTCGTGTGGGATGCCGTGTTGCGAGGTGAAGGTCGAGTATAAAGCGGGGAGAGAGCATGGCAGAGGACGTCGCACCTCTCTTGCTTAGCAGTTCTTACCAGCCAAAGTCCTCATCTTCGCCACCATGGACGCTCTAAACTCCCAATGTGTACTATACACCTTTCCCGTCGCAGCCGTGATTGCGCTCGTCGCGCTGAAATGGCTGTCCGATCCGGTAAGTGCTCTGTCGATCATCGCGTGTCGCACAGAACCAACTCATCGTCGTTTTTGTCTAGCTGAGAAGGATCCCAACCGTCGGCGGGTCGTCGCTCCCCGGACTATCCTACTTCTCCGCTCTGCGTTTCCTCCACGATGGGAAGATCGTGTTAGCTGAGGGATACCAGAAGGTGCCCTACACTTCCCGTCGTCATCGTACTTTCACCGACAAACTTTCAACAGTACTATGGTCGCCCCTTCAAGGTGGCCACCCCCGACAGGTGGGCGGTCATCGTCAGCGGCCCCGAGATGACGGAAGACCTCCGAACGCGCCCGGACGACGAGATGTCTTTCTTGGAGACCGCCGAAGATGTGGGTTCCAGGCCGGCGCGAATGTACGACACCCGAACGCTGACAGAGGCGCTTTGCAGAACTTGCATACGCACGCGACCATCGGGCGCCAGTGGATCGACGATCCGTACCAGTTCGACCTCGTGCGCGGGAAGCTCACGCGCTCGCTGCCCGCGATCGTTCCAGACGTTGTACAGGAGATCTCTTTGGTCGTTCCGCAGTTCATCCCCGCCAAGGGCGACGGTACGCGATTTCCTTCGATGCCATCGCCTTCGTTTCTGACGTTTGCTTTGGCTCTCGCGTCCTGGCAGAGTGGGCGGCCGTGACGATGTTCCCGACGGCGCAGAAGATCGTCGCGCGGCTCAGCAACCGCGTCTTCGTCGGGACGCCGTTGTGTACGTACGCACTAGCTTGTGGGATGAGGTTCTGGTGGCTCATTGGCTCGTTCAGGTCGCAACGAAGAGTTCCTGGATCTCACCATCCAGTTCGTGCGGGAGGTACTTCAGCACGGGCCCACATGAAGAAGTTCCCGTTCTTCTTGAAACCGTGAGCCTCACACAACAGAAGGCCGCCGGCGCTGCACAACTGATGCGTCCACAGACTGGCGGGGCTCCGATCGGGCCGCGTGAAAGCCATAGTAGAGCGAGCGGTCACTCTGCTCGCTCCCATCGTGGAGCAACGGATGGCTGAGCTCCAGGAACACGGCGCCGACTGGGACGACAAGCCGTACGCCCGTTCTCTCTTCTCCTCCGCGTCACGCAATCTGACCCTCGCGCCGTCGCCCCGCGCAGAACGACATGCTCACTTGGATCCTCGAGGAGTCCATCCCACGCCGCACGCCCCTGGCGGAGATCGTCCAGCGCGTGCTCATGCTCAACTTCGTCGCGACGAACACGACCTCGCAGAGCGCCACCCACGCGCTCTTCCACCTCGCCGCGGACCCCGCGCTGCTCGCCCGCTCCGGGCGGAGGCCGCCGCCGCGGTGGCCGCGCACGGCTGGACGAAGGCGGGCCTCGGCCGCCTCTGGAGGCTCGACAGCCTCATGCGCGAGTCGCAGCGGACGAACGGGGTCTCCCTCTGTGCGTCTCTCGGCTGCGGCGTCGGCGGGTCGTACTGACGCGGGCCGTGCTGCTTAGTGTCGGTGATGCGCAAGGCGCTGAAGGACCTCACGCTGCGGGACGGCACGTCCGTCCCGCGCGGGACGCTCGTCGCCGTGCCGCGCTCGCGACGCACCTCGACGCCGCGGTGAACGGCGCGGGCGCGGACGCGTTCGAGCCGTTCCGGTGGGCGGAGATGCGGGGGGAGGACGCGGGCGAAGGCGTGAAGCACCAGTTCGTGAACACGTCCCCGCTGTACATCCCGTTCGGACACGGGCGGCACGCGTGGTGAGCTGCAGGTTCTCGGACGACGCACTGGCGACGAGAGCTGACTCCGGACCCGCAGCCCGGGGAGGTTCTTCGCGGCGACGCAGATGAAGGCGCTGCTCGCGCACTTGATCGTCCACTACGACATGGAGATTGTCGGTGGGGCGGGCGGCCCGCGAACGAGTACTTTGCGGAGTTCGTCATGCCCGACGGCACCGCGCAGATCAGGTTCCGCGAGCGGCGGGATGTTCCGGCGGGAGTCGATCCTGACTTCGTGACGGACAATGCGTTCTAAGTATTTAGAGGGCTATAGCTACTCCGTTTTTACCGGATATTAACAGTACAGCAGGATTATTATAAGCTGACCTCGGGAGCGCGGGAAAGAGCTCGGGAGAGGGCATCCCTCTTGCTCTGTGCGCCGACAGTACTGCCAGGTGGACGGACCGAGTTGGAGCGTTTCTCCGGAGCCGGCATTCAATCGGATGGTAGTCAATAGGGACGTTACATCAAAGCAGTTTTAGTACAGACGTTACAGATCTAAACGGCGTGTTAGTGCATGCAAGAAGAACGCGTCTCGCCTGTGTCGGCGTTTTCCCCGACATGCCCGAAGTCTGCCCAGTTCTCGATTGTGACTACGTACCGCCTTCTGACAATCTGAACGTAACTCTAGTGCAAGATTTCTGGGTCCATCCCGCGGTGGTAGTGATGCTTTAAATTTGGAGTCACCGACGTGGAGACGGCCGACTAGTGCGGCTTTGATGAATTACCCCCGGGGCTGCGCTGAGCAGCTGTATATATGTATATCGCCGACAGATGCGTCGGTGTGATCATGCATCATGTCTAGACATGCACTGATATCACTGGATCCGCCCTCACTCGGCGAGACAGCTCTATTGGAAGCCCCAATCCGGCAATCCACGACGCACGCGGAGAGTGGACCTAGACGGCGCTGCAATGAGAGTGTCATATTGGCAAGGAAAGTTTACATATCGTCCTCGACGACGCAGAGCCATACGAAGAAGACAGATAGATTATACGTCGTATGCCTTTCCGCAGGTGCCCGGATCCCTCCGCAGCCTCCCGAGCACGCTTCGCGTGCTCCTGTACCTCCACACCGCCCAGCAGACGACTGCAGCCACGAGGAGCGTGACAGCGACGGCGAGGAGGACCTGTGGCACGGCGACGCACATCGTCGCGCCCGCGGCCTGCAGAACCGAAAACGCGCCGCACGTCGCGCCGCCGTAGACGGCGATTGGACACCGGCGGCGAGGCTGCCTGTACACGGTGTTAGACGGCGAAACGAGTCGATGAGCGTCGTGAGCGGAACGCGCACCTGCGGCGACGCCGGAGCTGGTGAAGCCGACCGCAATGAGCGTGGCGGCGGCGGAGCCGACGACGGCGAGGGCGGCCCCGACGATGGATAGGGCCTTGCTGCGATACGTAGCCACTTCATTGGGAGTGGGGGCAGGTTACTAGTGAGGGATGTGGCACAGGCTGAGGGCGCGGGGATGTTATATGCAGACGGCGGGCGGAAGGAGGGAATGCGAGTACGCGGAGCGTCGAGAAGGCTGCCTGTGGTATATCGCGCGGGGACGGAAACCGAAGAGCCATCGCCTGTTCCATTCCGATCGAAGAGGTTTCCTGAGTGAGAAGCGTGAGCTGCTCGCCTGCCAGAGTACGTACGGCGTCATCGCCGAGAACCGGACCCGTGGCTGTGCCGCAGGTGGGCACATATACAGCAGTCACCTTTCCCTCCGTTCTCCATCCCCTCGAACCCTGGCGTGCCATGATGGGAAGCCACTTGTTCCATTGCGCGCGCACGGACACCGGGATGAAATTTGACCTCCGTCTTGCGAGCACTTACCCACGGAGAGCGCGCTTGCACTCACATATGCAGGAATCGACGTCGCACTCGCGATGGCGAGGATGCGAACCCGCCGAGTCTGACGGAGCGTAGTCGCTGGCCTCCAGCTAGTCCGCTAGTACGGCGGCACACAGCGGTCTCTTTGCTGCACCCCAGTCCGCGGAGCGTGCCGGGCGCCGCCCACGTCGACGTCCTGAAGGCACGGGGAGGATGCGGGGGAGGACCGGTTGCAACGTCGTTGAACGTTGCAAACGCTCGTGTCGTTGTCTAATCTAATCTAATCGGCTACCAGTGTCGAGTCAGTTTGGCGCCTGATGTACAATGCTTGACTAGCGACTTCCTCTGCTTCTCCCCCTTCGACCTCTCGTTCTAACACTTCCCACCCGCCGGTCTTCTGAACCAACG